GATCAAAGAGAAGAAGCTCTTCTGCAATTACTGATCGACTTATAGCCGTTATGGTTCCAAAAACTGCAGTATACCAGAACAAGTTGCGGCCAAATATCTGCACAGTTGAAAAAGCAGCGTCGACAAAGTCAGGTAAATATCAGCATTGCATAACATAGTGTCTTTGAAGGTTATAAAGTAATATTACGTGGCCCTCTAACAAAGACTCTTCCATAAATGCAATTATTATCAGCACGGCGGTGAAACCTCCAGAAACAAATGAGATGAATTTCGCAACGACAGTCAGGATTGGACACGGAAATTGCTTTAAATAGTTAGAACCACTTTCTAAGCCGTTGTTCATACGGTGCTTGAACAAATGCTCGACCTACAAGACAAAGACAGGCACATAACATGAAATTGTAACAGCATAATTTAAACCAAAGTTTGCAAATATATTTAACTTTTTGTGATCAATCCCCAACATTTATATGGAGCTTTACTTCCGAGTCAAAATTGCATCAAAGTTCCACAAGATATACACAAGAAATTTGATTAAGCCAGTGCAATACGAGTTCAATCGGCATTTCATTCTCAGAGAAGTTGCGAAAGATACCTCATTGAACTCTCTAAACAGCCACCTGGAAAGATTTGACCATCTCCGAAATGATGCTGAGGTCGGATGATTATAGAACTGTTCAGCATGCCTCAAGAAGAGATATACCAACATAAAAATAATGAGGAATGGCGTGAGAATAAGCAGCACGAATCCAACTATAACTAGCCTTTTCTTCAACATTTCTGGATCAGACACAAAATCCCTTCTAATGTGATAGTTTCTGTAAAAAGGGAGCATACATAAATCAGAACTTGCTGTCATCATTAAAGACTTGTGATAATAGCTATCATTAGTTTAACAGAATGTACCTATCAAACATGCTCTGTAGTAAGCAGCAATTCAGGGTCCACTCAAGGGTTTTTGGTAGTATAAGATGAAGATGAACTCCATCTAGACCGATCTTAGTCGGGCCAGCACCTGGAACCAACTTGGATATAGGGAAGGCAAGAACACCTTTATTTATCATTCCAATTAGATAGTTCTCCTTTCTCATCAATCTCATCACCACTTTATGGATGGAAAGATCATTTGCTATACATTTCTCTTTCAAGCTTTGAACTTCGACAACTTTTTCAAGAACTAATTCCCATGGCATTGTCTGCAATTCATTGTCCGACACCTTGAGACTGCATAGAGATATGGCACATTATCATCGTTTACAAACTTACAAATTTAAGCTCATTGAAATAAAATCTAGCAGTACCTGTGGAAGTAAAATTGCCGAATCTTGAGTGTCTCCTTCAATTGAGCAAAACATCTTAAAAAGCAGAAAATTAAATAAATAGTAAATATCACCAAATATCCAATTACAATAGCCCTCAAAAGAGTCAAAGGTGTGAATGGATGCTCGCGCAAAGCTTCCTTAGACAGATCACAAGGTCTGATTCCCGATTCCACGGCATCCATGCCACATTTTGCATTGCTAAGGCCATCCCAGTCAACATATAGTAAAAGAAACCCTGACAAACATAGAATGAAAGCAAGGCTTAAAAGCTCGACTATCCACTTAAGAATAGTGGCCCAAAGGCCTTTATCACAGTAGTAGCGGTAAATCCTCTCGTAAAACAAGTCAAGATCCCTGATGGGTTCAGCATTCAAATCCTTGTCATCTACCAATGCAGAAGGGCTTTCACTCCAAGGACTTGGTGGTTTGTTATACTCAGACAATTCAATTTCACGAGGCACCCCATCCAACAGCCCAGTTGTCAAAGTGGATTTGTTGTGGGATTTCCATTTAAATATATTCAATGAATGAGCTCCCTTTTGCTCGAAAAACATTTCGTGCTTGCACAGACTAAAAAAATAAGTGCCTCAATCAGACCATCCTGTTCAAAAGCTAAGCCTAAAATTAGTGTTTGGTTAGAAAACTTGTGATATAGAATGTACGTATGAGCTTAATGAAAACAGTCAGATAAATAAATAGAATGTACCTCAACATCATATAGAGGTAGAAATCCTTAGTGCCTGACACCAAGAAATCAACTACTTTATTTTCTGCATCATAGATGGTGAATACAATTATACAAAGCAAGCCACTTAAGAAACTATTACAAATAATCGTAGATCTTCTCAAACATTAATGGCAGGATTTTAAAAAACTCAAATGTGATGATGAAGAAAATTGGAGTGAAAAAAGAGAAATCACACATTCACAAACTGGTAATCATATTAATTAGTAGTAGCTCAAACAAATACTTGACCTTGACCACTTTCTCCTCAATAGAACTTGCTATCGGGGGTTGAACTCAGACAATATAAAGGAACTGCAAAAACTATATCAAGCTTTGCAATTTTGTCAATTTGATACCAATTTTAGAGGGCACACTGTTCATTGTACTCGGAAAAAAGTGAATATTATATACATGACAACGCTTGAGTAACCATGGCTAGCCAACAAATACAATGACATCAATGGGACAAAAGCAACAACAGATTACCGAACTCAAATCAATGCCATGATACAAAATAAGTTAATAATTAATGCCATGTTATATAACAAGTTAATAAGAAAAAAGGGAAATTAGGGCAAGAGAAAAAAGAACACCCTTGACGCAAAGAAGGGTTTTAGAGGGATAAAATCTTATCAAGTCACTTAATAGTTAATACCATAAAACAAAGATTGGTTATTTACTTATATAGCATCGCAGAAAGAACGAACTTGTATACCGAAGAACTCATACACACGTTTCACTTTTCATGTCACCGCAAATTAGAACCAACTCAATAAAGAAAACTTCGCAATTCAGTTCAATAAACAGATTAATCAAATGATCGGGCAACAAGCCAATAAACAACCTGCGGCACGTGATAAATTCATCGTCTCCTATTTCGGGTTTTCACAAATAGAACCCTAGCCGTGAAATTCAAATATATTGAACAGTTAATGCGCGCGAAAAGATGAAGTAAAACAGTATAACCCATTGACGAACAAGCTAGAGAGAAAACAAATATTCGTATTCTATAAACAATTGTAAAGTCACTCGAATTTCACCTGGAATAGAACAGAGTATCCGTCACACCGCACAAGTTAAGTTCTGTCGAAGGAATGCGGAAGGAGAGTATCCATGTGATGTGATCAATGGAGTGGATATATATAGGGTTCTTAATGGAAAGCGACAGAACTGATGACGACGGAGAAGGAAGTCGAGAGGGCAGTAAACGCCGCTGTATTTTTTCTTTTTAAACTTCAAATAATTATTTTTATATATTTTTTTGTAACTTTATAAATTTTAAATATTTTGTAATGATAAATATTTATTCATATATATAATAAGTTAAAATTTTATTTGAATTGAAAATAATTTTTTATTTCAAATAATTTAAGCATTAATTGAATAATTTAGATAATTTTATATAATTAATTTATATTTGACATTATTTTTTATGAAAATGTTTCGATAATTTTTTCATACAAAATATAAATATAGAATCTAGTATTGAGATTTTTTAGGAAAGCTTTAAATTTTGAAGTTATAAATAGATATTTGTAAACACATAGGTTTTGTTTGTTCAGTATTTTGATCGGAAATTTTTGTTTTGATACAAGAAATCTAAATATATATTGAATTGAGTGTTTTTTTATGAGATAAAAAGTTGTACGATGAATATAAAAATAATATTATATATTAATTGATTTATTTATTTTTAAATTAATAATATATATTATATTAATATTTTATATTAATATGTGTATATTATATTCTTTCTAATAATATTTATAATAAATTATTCATTTAATACTAAGTAAATAAACACGAAGTTTTGTTTGTAGTAAACTTTTTTTAAAATTTGATTTTATTCATTTTTTAATATCACGTTAATATTTTTACAAAATATTCTCTTTTTTATATCAATTAAAATATATTTAAACATTATATTATTTTTAATATAGATATATATCTCAATAATAATGATTTGATGCCTCCCCGTTGGAGGAAAATAAGAAATCATTTTAAATCAAAATCAGAATTTTTATTCATATATTATTGTAATAACATCGTAGACTTTAGACTTTGCAACTTATATTTATCAATTGCTATTAACAATTAATTTTGCGATAAATAAATAATATTCATGTTTTAACTTTTAATGTAATACACTAATCACTGATATATTTAAAATATATAAACCCACAACATCTATACAAAAATCACGTTAAATAATTATTTTATCCTTTGAAAACCAATCATATATATGCACACACACAATTAAATTGATAATGTTATACAATATCATTAACACTAAACGTAAGAAAAGACGTGACAATTAGTCATCATTTTACAAATTAATAATAAATCCTTTTACATGTTTTATACTTTCGGATACTATTTATGTATAATCCTAGATATATAGTAACTTTATATGCTCACAATTTTATTGCTTACTTCAATAATAATAACAATAATAATTAATTTATTATCACTTTTTTTATTTACCTCACTATTTTTTTTTTTGTTAAATTCTATAATAATATTTTTTATAATGTTTTCAATTCTACTTTTTAGTAGACTCACTTTAACATTAAAATATCATTATTTTTTAGTACACTTAATAAATTTTATGAGATCAAGGGAGCATGTAACTAAAAATAATATAATAATTATTTGAAATGGATTCCTATGTGCAAGTACCTACTATAATTTTAATCTTCTTTCACTTTATAATGGCTTTGGTAAAGATAATAATTGAGTTTCGTGTCAAATCACTCTCCAAATTATTTGGAAGAGATCCTTCATTGCCTACACAATTCAATATAATAAACTGAAGAATTGCATATATATGTTCTGAAAAATAAAAATAAAACAAGAAACTGTTAGCAACAACTAATGTAAATATTTAACCCCCTGCATTATCTATAATTATAATCTAAACATAGCAGAAAAGAAAAGGAGACAATTCAAAAAAAATAAAAATAAAAAAATAAAATAAAATAAAAAGGAGTGAAAGATAGAAACAGAGTTGTAAGTTAAGTCCTGTTGCTAATTTTGCAATTCCTGCACCAGAAGTCATCAAACATGGGTACAAAATAGCCTCCCTGCCTGCCTTAACAACACATATTACCTTCATTGACACCATGACAAAAATATACTACCACCAAAAAAAAAAAAAAAAAAAAAAAAAAAAAAAAAAAAAACCAAAATAAAAATAAATAAATACCAATAATAATTAATACTTACAGGAAGGGAAATCAAACAATTCATCCACACTCCCATCTCTTCTTGGTGCACGCACTTGCGAGCAATCTTCTCCATGGTGAGCTCATCACCCACCAAACAGACATGAAAAGACGACCATTGTTAGACACATATGTATATATAGACACACAAGTGCTACACCCAAAAACTACTCATCAACTCCGAGCAACCTTTATCAAATGAAATCAAACAAGAATCTTGCAGTGTACTTTTCAAGCATATCTTCAAACCAATTCAAATTTTGAAATTAAAATGTACACTAACAACGTATAAGCTTGCAAAGTCACGCACCAAGTAAGAATGCCACAAGGAGAATATATCTCTAATATTGTATGAACATAAATTCCTCACTGATAATCAGAAGTGAGAAATCGCTGCACTATCTACACCTCCGCCTAGGACCTACCCACTCCACAACCCTATGTTGCATTTAGAAATAAAAGAACGAACTTCAGATAAGAGGTCATTGGCAGTTTGAACACACTAGGAGTGTCAATTCACTTAATATACCTAAATCAATCCATTACAAGTGTGGTGCATCACATCAAACTAATACTTGAAAAAGCAGCACAGAACCCAAAAGCAAGCAACAAACATTACATAATAGTTCCATAAACTACTGGGATATGCATGTGTATCAAAAACAGCAAGTAACTGCATAACTAAATGGATTAGAAAGCAGTACAGTAGACAGAATTCTGCAGTACCTTTCTAAACTTTCAGAAGACGAATAATCTGTGAACCAAAAAAAAATCGAGTTCTATATATGCCAACTTTCAGCTCTCAACCTGCTTGGCTTGGGTACTGCAGTTACATTTCAAAGAATGTCATAAACATTCGATTCCAAGCAGATACTCACAGACAAGTACTAATACTGCAAGTAGGATAAATAAAAAAAATGAATTCACCTAAAATGGAGATACAGATAGATTAAGCAAGCATCTGAGCTTGATTTACAGATCAAAACAACAATCCATGCTGTGCATCAAATCCAACTATATCCAGGAAGAAATTCCTTCTAAAGTAAACGTGGGTTTACAAAAGAACGTAATGAATGGTCTGGTTCAATCAAATTGATCTGACATGAGATGAGAACAGGGAATAGCACCAAAAAAGAAGAAAACATAAAGGCTTACATCCCAACATGCTTAATCAACTAGTGACGAAAAACCAAAACAATATTAGAAGGATTTGACTTGCTTGTATTTTCAATTTTTTTTTTTGGGACTATTCGTAATATATATATATATATATAATTTTAAAAAAAATAAAAAAATCCGCCTAATAAAACATTCAGCACCTAATATTCACTTAAATATTAGGTCAAAAATCTATTCTCTACTTAAAACATTACATCCAATACCTATTTTCCATTCAAAACTTTGTTATTCCCAAGACAATTTAAACAACCAAAGCACTCCCAAATAATAACTAAGATGTTTTCAAGTACATATTCATCAACTTATCTTTAGAAGCAAGAAACTGAGTTAAGTTGGTAAGGCCAACAGCTGAAAAGACAAACTATATTGTATGGAAAACCTCTTCCAGAATGTAAAGGACACAAGGTACCATTATGGATAGCTTACAAATCAAACAATATGCTTTTCCAATGCAAATTATACAATTTCCCAAAAAACTCTTGCAAATCATTATGAGATCATAAATTCATTCAAATCTAGGTTAGAGTTGATTCACATCTTCCTTGCAAGCATATATATTGATCGTTTGTGCCAAACAAAGAGATCCTAGCATATTGATCTGGGAATTTAGCTTATGGAGTAGTAAGATACTTTTCTCTTCAATTTTCCTTTCTAACAGAAAAGCATTCTAGAACGGAGAAGTGGTAGTTGGTAAAAACTCTAATATTTTGAAAGCACCCGCATAACGAAGAAAGTCAATACTCACTTATAGACAGAGAACTATTTCCAAATAATCAAGAATTGTAACTACTGTCCGTGGAATGTTGTCAATTTTTACCATAAACATGAGGCTACAATACATTTTGCCTCAATGCAGCAGTTAAGGATACTAAAACCCAGGTGTAATACTACTTAGAACACTAGATATGAAGGCAGAAGATTCCCTATCTTCATTAGCATGCAAAATCATATTAACATTTACCTGAAGAGTGCTAAACTCCTGCAAATTGTTCAGCAATGAAAAGCTAAGAAAGTCCCCTCCGGTACACACCCCACCTCTTGCAAACACAATATGAAGATTAAAATATATAGCACTGAAATACAACTTCACTGATGGTGTAATCAAAATCAACTTAGAAATTCTTACAAGTACCAATATGAAATATTTGAGATATACAAATCACGAAAAACAATCTTCTTAAACAGAAGCATCTTATCCAGACCTTCTCGGGTAAGAGATAGCAAAGATGCATCCTGTCATCAGCCAAGCCCAAGCAGGAGAGTAGACCTGCACAATGTCTCAAGTCCTAGATAGAGGCCATGAAATGTTGGTCAAAGTGGATTCATCAAAGATGCCGGGTAAAAAACAGCAAGGTTCGACATTCTCACAAGCAATATTGCAACTTCCTTTGTGCCATAGCTCTCACCTCAATCATGAATATTAGATAATGTAGTATCAAAATCATGATAATCCTTCTGGAAGCTATTGAGAAAAGAGACCACTAATGCCTAGCACTCCTTGTTGTATCTCCTTTCTCCGCAGCTCCTCTAACGGGTCGGGACTCTTTATTACTCTTCGCACATGCCTTGATCACAGTGAAAAATAATATGACCTGAGAAGCTTAAATTTCAAGGAGCCCATCTTTTATATTGTGAATATACATACCTATCTTGTGCATTCTGAGCAGGATAAGTAGGCATAAATTCCCTAGCCTTGGGAAGTGGAACTTCACGAAACCACTCATGATTGAGAGCTGCTTCAGCGGTAATGCGCTGCAAAGTTGTCAGGTCATGTCTAGTTATTCCGGAGATGGAATAAATCAACAAACAATGGACTAAGCACATACCTTTTCAGGATCATAAGTAAGAAGCTTGCTTAGAAGATCAAATCCAGCATCAGAGAGTACAGGTGAGCCTGTAAATGATGTTGCTGGAAATTTTCGACGCAACTGGTTATACCTGAAAGAAACATAATTGGTTAGAAGCAATATAATTTTACTCAATTAACACATTGTCACCAATGGAAGCCAGAAAGCCACACCAGAATCACCCAAAGCTGGAAGCCTGGGAAAACAGTGGCAAGAAAGAAAACATAAATTTTGATATCAACTATGGTAACATGGATATACAAGATAAGATTACTTACTGATGCTTGACGAAGTTAACCTTAACTCCAGGGAGTTTGGAATACCCAGGCCAAATTTTCTCATTTGGAGTGCCAAGAATCCTGAATATCTACAATACCACCACCCCAAGGAAAGTAAGGCCCATATCACTATTGTAGTATATTTACTTTCAGTGAAGCTTTAAGGTAGATACTTACCTTGTCAAGCTGATCAAATTCAGTCTTCCCATTGAACAATGGCTCTTTCGATAATAGTTCAGCCATAATACACCCCACAGACCACATATCAATTGCTGTAGAATATTCCTTGGCTCCCAAAAGTAGCTCAGGCGCCCTGCAAGTGATAAATGACATATTAAGAAAATAAATATAATTAAAAATAGAATCAGTAGGCTCAAAAAGATAAAACATATTCTATGTGAATGAACTTCTAAAATCACCAACACATAAGCACGAATCATGACTAGATCCATCAACTTCACAAATTGAAAGCTATGAATAATTTCGCTGAAAATTGATTACAGTTGCAGAGCAAATAGGAAATTCCATACACATCATAGCTAGTGAATGTGAAATACTTGAGTAAGCAAAGATAAATGAACAAAAAAATCTCACCTGTACCACAAAGTAACCACCAATTGTGTATATGGTTTCAGTGGGCTCCCATACTGACGAGCCAGACCAAAATCACATATCTTCAGCTCACCACAGTTGTTTAATAGAAGGTTTGAAGTTTTCAGATCACGGTGGAGTACCCAATTATCATGAAGATACTTCACTCCTCCCAAAAGCTGAAGCATGAGACATTTAACTTCACTTTGACTAAAAGGTTGTTTCATAGTCTCAATCAATGCCTTAAGATCATGCTCCATGTATTCCATAGCCATAAAAATGCTATCAAGATTCCCCATAACCACTTCTTTGACATTCACTATGGAGGGGTGGTCAAAAGATAGAAGAATGTTAATTTCTCTGAGTGAAGTCAACGGGAAACCTTCTCTCTCCTTCTCCATCTTGACTTTCTTCAAAGCAACAATTTCTCCAGTCTTTTTATCCCTGGCTCTATACACAACCCCATAAGTGCCTTCGTTAATCTTGTTCAGTTTCTCAAACTCATCTACACTTCTGCAACCATGAAGCATGTTAACACTCCTTTGTTGGGGGTGAGCTGGTTCAGGGGAACCATGACTATTCTCGAACTTGGTTTCAGAATGAACACTAGAGCCATCGTAATTTTGATCATCATCCATCTCCATTTCTTCATGGGAACTTCCTCTATAGGAAGACCTTGTGTATTCATCCGACCCAGATGATTTTCCTGTAGCTCCTTCAGAACCATCTATTTTGACCTCCCCATCTTCTGGAGTTATGGACTTACTACGCCCCCATGCTCCAGCTGAATCTGATCCAGGTTTGCTCCTCAATCTCAACATTTCATCATAATTAGAGATCTCACCTTCATCGGCTGGAGAGTCAGCATCAGTTGCCCAACGAGAAGAGATTATGGTTCGCATTGGCACACAATCATCTTCGTCCACTGGCTCACTTTCCTTGTTGTTAACCCATTGTTCTGGGTGCATAGGAGATTTTTCAGAATGAAGTTCAGATAACTCAAGTGTTGTGCTCACTTTCTGAGGTGATTCATCCAGATTAACAACAGCCCTGGAAGAATGTTGCAAGGACCCATGAAGGTTAGGGTTTGGGTTTGGTGACGGCCCATGAGACTTGGCTTTCGGAGGCAGTGCTGGTAGATTAGAAGTTTCTGATGAACACCTACTTTTGAGGGGTCTGGTTGCCTCCCCTTCATCTCTGTCCCATACAATTGGAGAAAACTTTCGTTTCTTATTCTGTGAGGGAGACAGTTGTGTCTGACCCTTCTCCATCCCTTTCACATCAGTCTCTCCGTTAACCTGAACTTCCGAATCAACAGACCCATCAGACTCCTCACTCAACAACTCTCCAGGTTCTCGATCTACTGCATTAATCATAACTACACGCCTCCCTGGCTCACCACCACTGCTACTTCCAGAATTATTTTGACTAGAGGTACGGTGATGCCCACCATTCATAATATCTCTTTCTTTGATATCCTTCTGCCTCACCCTATCTCTATATTTCAGACTATCTCGATCCCAATCCTGACCCCTCTTATACTCTTTAAATCCATTCCTAGCACGTTCATAGCCCCCTTCCGTGTGGCCGTTTTCCTTCTTAGAGACCCGAGAAGCAACTTCCCGATCCTTGAATTCAGTGTCCCTAATGCCCCTATGCCTTCCAGCAGCCATGACTGAGATAGGGTTCGACTTCGGTATAGATGGCAAAACTGACCCCCAATAATATCAAGAACTCGCCTAGATAGAATTTCTCCAACAAAACCCCTTATCCTCAACTCCTCAGATTCAATTAATGGTCAAAATTTCCGACGCAACTGGTATTTACGATTTTGTATTGAAAATTCAAAAAGCAGATCGGAAAATGCACAAAGTCTGGAAACAAAAATTCGAGCGTCTTACTAACCAATTAATCGGCCGTATTTCAACCGCTAGCAAAAGACGGAAAATTATAGCAGCAAAACCCCTAAATTCAACCGAAAAAAAAAAGATTCCGCACGAAACAGAAAACCCTAGAAAGAAGAAATTCCTCGCTTCCCCTCCTGCAACGGCGAGAAACGAACTCGAAAAGCAAATTCTTACCGATGAAATATTGGGATAATTGCTCTTGGTTTCCAGAGAGATTCGAGAAACGACGAAGAGCGAGCGAATGGAGGCAGGCACCAGCCACCACCAACAGCGTTGAAAGAGACTCCAATAATTGCGATTTCTTATATTTATAATATCAATATTAATAGCAATATCAATATCTACCACGATATCAAAATATAGATATATATAGATATCAAGATATCAATATAATCGTTTTATTATTATTATTATTATTATCACCCCTTAAATTATTTATTTTGATATAACGTGGGCCGTTGGGCTCACACAAATTTATTTTGGGCCTCCTCGCCTAAGCTAAAATTATTTTGTTAATTAAATTCAAACATTGGCTCCATTTATACAAATATTTTAAAAAATTTATCATTACATTTTTACCCTTAAAAAAAATCATATCAAAGATCTTTTTTCTTTAAGTTTTAAAACTTTTCAAAATACCTAAACATATATCTAAATTGAGTGTTTGGAAAAAATATATAGGTAGGTTCTATTTTTTTTTTTCTTAGATTTGGATTCAAGTTTAAGATATGATTTGTTTTGTAAAAAAAAATAATAATAGTCCCTTCGTCCGGTTCTAAGGTCTCATTTATATTTTGTGTCATTGTACTTAACATTAAAAATATTTTTATATTTGTATAATTTTTTGCACAAATGTCATTGTAATAGTATTATAAGACACTAATAGAAATATTTTTATTATTTTTTCTTAATTTGTATTGCGTTTTCATATAATAATTAATATTCAAATATCAATACGAAAGTAAATGAGAACGTTACGGCCGAATGCATGTAGTAATATTTAATGTGATATTTGGAATGAAAAAAATTATAAGTTTGTTGTTTTAATCCCAAATAAAAATTAACATTATTCAATTTATATATTTTATCTTATAAAATATCAAATTAAAATACTATTTAGATTAAAAAAAAGAAATCAAATTCAAAATTCAAAATTCAAAGTCAAAACAAAATAAACCATAAACTTTTAGGAGTTTTGACTTTTATAATTTTTAAGAAAAAGGAAAAATTAATGAACCATGAAAACTAAAATCATTCTTGTTGATGAACTGTCGGTTTCGGAAGTATTTTGAATATATTAGTATTTTATAATCATTATTTAATATCTTTATTTTTTTTAAAAAAAATAGTATATTTGATAAAAAAATAAAAAAATAATAAATAGTACTTTAATATATCAAAGTTTGAAATAAGAAAAATCAAAGGGAAATTTTCCTTGATACACTTTGTTTGCTATGTTTCGATATATTTTTATTTTTTAAATAACTAAAGTTCAAATATATATTTTATTTAATACATACAAAATATTTAATATAGTATTATTAATAAAATAAAATTTTAGAGTAAAAATTTAAATTTAAAAAATACATACTAGTATATGATATTTTTCATAACAATAGGAATAATTGGTAGAAGATATATATAAATATATATATGTATTTTTTTTTGTTTTTAAATCATTTTTATTAAGCATTTTTTTTATTTCAATAAATATATTTATTTTTTATTCAAAATATCATATAATTTGAACGTATAATATGACTGTACTAATTTACATGCTATACTAATTTAACTAGTTTTTACTATCCGATTAGATTTTGTGCTAGTTCAGCGTAATAAATAAATAAATAAATAAAAATAACCTCTAATTTTTTTGGCTGAATAATTAAAAGTTTATCTAAATATATTTTAACCCATAGTGAAAAATCAATTTACGTAGGAAGTATAAATATTTTTTTTATCTATAAAACTATATTTATCCTATATGTAAATCTATTTGCAAAACTTATTCAAAAGAAAAAACAAATAATAAAGATTTGGTTTGGATTTATGTTATTAAATAATTTTAGTTGTGAATTTGGTTAAATTTTTTATTATCCACGCAAATTCTCATTTTAAAATATCAAATCAAATTTTTTTTTTTATTTTTTAATATACTTATATTGTTTCATTCAAAACATAATACTTACAACTATCCAATAGAGTATAATTCAAACAGTTGAGTTCTCTCATATTATATTAATACAGAGAGAGAAGACACGTTTGTTGTAAAAATTTCAATATATTTTTTTCAAAAATTAATATGTTACACATACTCATTAGTCTTTAATATTTTATGTACAATTTTCTATGTCTCATGTAAAAAAAAAATTTCTTCAAATCGAAACACAAAATAAACATACCCTTATCCTTTTAAAAGAATACGTACAAAACCTCATCCATCCACCCATCTATACCAAAGGACAAGTAATCTAATTTTAAATCATTTATAAATTAATTAATTATATTCTTACATGTATAGATATTGTCAAAAACTAGCATCTCAAAGTAAATAAAATTATATCATTATCTATACATCACCATAGTTGCATTGCTTAGCTTTATATGTTAAATCATTCCATTTCTTGAAGCAATCGCCTACTTACATATATATATGATCCTAGGGAAAATAATAAGTTCGAATAATGACGACGAGGAAGATGAGAAATATTGCATTAGAGTTTAGGACACCGCAACATCCTCGATTTGGTACTAACTATTGGGGCGGCGCATCGCCCTTGCTTGCCCGGGACATTCCCGGGCAGTCATTGGAGCAAAGGTACTCGAGGTTTAATGCCGTCAGAGATCAAAATCAAATCTTTACTATAGAGGATGAAGTTTTTGGTTCTCCCCGGCCCTCCACCATCGGTGAAGAAATTTTTCGATTCTCGACGGGCACCCGCCGCCGCCGGCGGAAGGGGTTGCTCCGGAAGGTGCTGGTGAAGTTGAAGGTGCCGGGCAAGGGGGCCGGGCAGCTGGGGTCATCGGGCAAGGGGTTTAGAAACTTTCCTAGATTGAACCCCAAGAATAGATGGCCTAATGGTTGGTGTTGAGATTAATGATTGTTATTTAATTAAGGATGAGATGAATAATACTATAATTTTTATATTTTATTAAAAATGAATATAAGATGTTATTAGTGTATTTATTTAGTAGTTTATAATTTAGTTATCTAAGTCTTTTTGTTAAAGGTACCTGATATTATGAAAATATTACAGGAGAACGATGATTTTCGAATTTTTGTTGATTTTTTATTTATATGTTTGTATTTTTCGATAATATTTTTGAAAAATATGTACATTAAAAACATAAAGAGTGTGTGTTGTTTGGATGATATGATTCTCGTTTCCAATGCTAATTCCGTTGCGAGCAAATTTCATTTTGGACACTCCATTGTGAACATACCTTGTTTTTTATTCGAATTCAATTAAGAACATTGTTTGTAACTCTAATACAGTGAATGATTTTAGCTCCGTTATTTTTTTTAATCTTTTTTTACAAATTCAAATTATTTATGCCATACTACGTAAATTTGAGATATGTTAAATATTTTTATATATTTAAATTAATTAATTTGATTTATATTTAATTTGGTTAATTTAAATTAAATTAAGTTATAACAATTGTTTTACATTAGATTATGCTGATTTGATTTGAAAAAATATAAAATACTATGCATAATCATTTTAAAAATATATTATTTTTACTAATAAGATATTTCAAAAATAACATAAGTAAATATTTGAATAATATTTTTTTATTGTTTCAATAATTAAATAATAAAAGCCAAAAAGTTTTTAAACGCTAAAAGAAAACATTTAAAAGTTTTTTTAAATTGGTTTGAATTTAAATTATTTAAATAATATTTTAATATTATATTTTGTAAGGGAAATATTACTATATTTCTATGAATGACATAGTATTAGTAGTGATATTTAGATTACAAACCAAATGAGAAATGTCGCTGCATTTATTAATATTTGCATGAAACACATTATGAAGATTGGGTCATAGTGTTAATTTATAATTTTATTGGGCCTATTGGGCTTGAGCCCAATTATCAAAACTAAATTTTCTTGTAGTGCGTGACCCATTTACCCCTTGACCCAAAATACAAACCGTCTGTCAAGTAATAATGACGACATATTTTCAATCCTCTTTTATCGATATTTTATAAATATATATTATTTAAATTAATTATTGTTGGCACTGGCAGCTTCTTTGCATGTCTGTCTTTCTGAGCATTGTTTGATTTTATTATATATTATGCACATACTTTATTGCAAGTTAATTAAGATATATGGGCATAAAGGCATACATTATTATATTAATTTTAATTTTAATTTATACACATACAAGTTAGCTCCTCTCTCTCTCTTTCTTTTTTTAAGATATATTACTCAGTCCGTCCGTTTCAATACAATAGTCTTATTTATCATTTTTATCTGTTTCAAAACAATAATTTTATTTCTATAAATATTTATATCACCATAAAATTATTCTTACTTTTTCATTATTATTACACAAATGTTACTACTTTTTATACTTCAGGAGTATTATTTTCTTGAAATCAAGTTTGAAGATTGAAAAGTTGTGATGAGGCAACTTGACCAAAAGTGTGAATTACATTTTTTATATATATGTGTGTTATTTTATATACATCTCTTTGCAATAAATGGCCTTTAATTCATGGGCTCCAAGTAAGACTTTCAACACCACTATATATTTTATTTTATGCTTATTTATATATTTATTTATTTATTTTAAGATGCCTAAATATAATCTTGCACTTGTCACTATACACATGCCCACATCTGTATAAACATACACATATGTAAGGAATAATTAGTATTTTCTCGTATTTTGTTACTTTTAATTTTTTTAAACAAAAAAAAAAAAAAAATTTAAAAATTCAAAGTTTATGTATATATATAGTACATGTAAATTATTCAATTCATTTGATATATATAAAATATTGGGCGTGGTGTTAAATAATTTAATTATGTTTTTAATAATAAAATTAATGTTCATACAATATTTTCTATTATTGAATATATTGAGCCCACTATTTTTGTATTTTGTTTCGGGTGTGGGTGTGTTTCGTTTGAAGGTTTGGATTTTGAGTTGAGATCTAAATAGTAAAAATTTTAAATTTAAATAGTTGTATGATGTGATATTAATAGACGTTGATGTGATGTTTTAAATATAAAATTAATTTTTAGTTTAATATAAAAAATAAAAAATAGGTATTTTGATTTTATATTTTTTGGATAAAAAAATAGAATGAATAGTGAATTTAAAATCCAATCCCCAAACAAATGAAGTACTATATTGTTATAAAAAATAATAAGAGTTACATAATAAAAATAAGTGAAATGAAATATAAAGCCAGAACAACCGTTATTTTTCATAATAGCAATTTATTGTTACAGAATAAGTAGTTTATGTTCATAATAGTTTTTTTTATAACATTTTATAATATTTCATCCGTCCAATTTTTATTGTCCTAAGATTAAATTTTTGTTATGAATTAACAAATTTGTTTTTAATTATATGATATATATTAAAACTAATAAATGAATGAAGGGTAAAAATGTAAAATTTGTATTTAAAAAAAGAAATAGAACAATAATTGTTGGCATCCCAAATATAAAAGTAGGCATTAGTTTGTGGAGGGAGAGAGTAGTATTTTTAATTAATTATATATATTGATTGTAGTTATATAAGGCACCAAATACATGTATATGAAAATAGTGTTCACTTATAATATACAAAACTCCTCTCTCTCTCTCTCTCTCTATATATATATATATATATATACACTTTGTATTTTAATAATTCACAAAAAGCAATTAATAAAATAGGGTATGTATTAATTAATAATATATAACTGGAAGATTAATTGTATCGAACCCTAATATCTAGCGTAGTACATTTTTTTATTAGTAACTCACTCGACAATTTAATTAAACAATGTTACATATTATATAATCATTATATGATTGCAATAATTAATTGTCAGCCCTCATTTAAAACAAACTGTATTTATATCATTATATATTTAATTAGCTAATAGTGTCAAAATTTTAAAATAATTTCCTCAAGGAATTATAACAATAAACAGTGTATATATATTAATATTATCTAATAAATAAATGAAATGAATTATAAGAATTTAGACAAGGAATGAGTTTTGTTGACCAAATGTGGAGTGGAAATAAATAAAAGAAAAAGAAAAGAAACGAAAGCGTGAGGCTGAGTGCCTGCAATTAAGGGAACATGTGGTCCATACATACAAATTATATATATATATATTAAGGTTGTCCTTTACTTTTATTGAATATTAGTATTATAATAATTTATAATGAAAAAATAAAAATACTCCTATTAGTATTGTGTAATATAAAAATAATAATATTTGTGTAATATAGTGTAAGGACAAAAGAAAATAAAAAATGATAATATTTCAATGGGCTGAATAGAATACTTCATTTTTCTAAAACAACATAGAGATTTGAACTAGGGTACGAAAAATATTAATATTATATTGATATTGAGATAAAAATATTTTTTAAAAATTACTTTTATAAAAAGTTAATAGTTACTTATCATGGATAAAAACAAAATTATTGTATGACAAAAATAATAAAATAAGACTATTGTATTAAAACAAAGAGGGTACGTACATATAATACACTAACATTAACAATTTAACATTCGTGTACACGCCAACGTTGTTCTAATCAACTCCATTATTATTATTATTATTATTATTATTATTATTATTAAGAGTAATAATTAGGTAAGGCTACTTTTAATTAACACTTCCTACTACACAATTAATTTGATGGACCCCACGCCTAATTAGTAGTGTCAAGTGTGTGCGTGTGAATATTAATAATATTATTATTATTATTATATTATAATATGTGTGTTTAATTAATTAATTAATATATTAATTTGACGAAGCAAGCAAGCGTGTGTTTGCTTCAACAATAATGATGGGTATGGTGTTTGCCTTTTTACCAATCCCAACGCTGTTAGAAAAGTCAAACACCACCATCATTAATGTAAAATAATAATACCAATATTAATAATTACATATTCTACTCCTACATTAGATATTTTTTTGGTTTTGTTTTTGTAAATTTGAGTAAATAGTTTTTTTTTTTTTAATCACAAGTCATAGTGTTTGTTTGGATACAAATAAATAAATAAATAAATAAAATTACAAATAATAAAAATTTAGTATTTGATATACTCACTTCATCTATTTTCTAATATTCTATTTGATATTTATATGCATTTTTAGGTAATTAAGGTTTTTGTTATAAAATAATAAATTTGTCATTAATATTGTGTATAGAAAATGAAAGAGTAAATAAAATAAAGGTAAAATAGTAAATTTTGTATATAAAAATAAAAAGAGGACAATAATTGTTGGACATTTTAAATAGGAAAGTAGAACGATAGTTTGTGGTAAGTGGGAATAATATTTCATAAAAAAATATCATATTTGATATAATTTTTGAAAAAATTAATATAAATTAATCGTACCAAAAGTTTCAAAATATTTATTATATAAAGAGAGTTATAATTATATAGTAAAGAAAGGCAAAATGAACATAATTTAATTAAATTATAGTTTAGTGAACATAACGTATAATTTAGCTCCTTTTAACCGATAGTACACGTAATATTTATATTAATGAATTCAGTTAGGGTTTGTTTTTGTGCCTGAAATTTTCATGCCCGATTTGTCTGGACGAATTGAAGAGACATTTCAGATCAAAGAAGATTTTAATTGAATGTCATTATGCTTCTTACGTATCTGAATGCACAATTAATTGTGTGTGTAAAAATATTTAATCGACTTTTGTTTTGTATTTTTATTATTATTATGCTAAGGTGCTGAATTGGGAACAAATTTAAATAAGTTTGTAGGGTGTCAGAAGTTTACGAGAGTAGCTGTTGCAGATTCTCATATTATATAAATATATATATGTCTTAATTAATCAAGCTTAACTGTGAAAAACTGTCCCTACAATTAAGTAATTAATATTGGAATGCCTAAATTGCCCAAGGAAAGCACCATCATCAAACCATGTGCTTTTAGTTTAAATTCTTAATAAATTGATTGATTACCTGGAGAAAATTAATCAAAGAAATAACAGGTTGGTTCAAACAAATTAAACCCCAATAATGAATATATATATCCATTAATTCCAGTTTCCACTCTAGTAAAAGAAATGTTTATTTTCTCAAATTCGATATATCCCTAATTCGATCACTAATTTATTCATTTAATAACTAGTATATAGTAAGTTCCATCTTAAATTCCCAACTAATTTGTACGTACATTTTATGTAGCAGTAGCACACGTACGAACACAGTTAACGTCATGATCAGAAGTTTCAGATGATTAGATGTACTGCATCAGTACTGTATGTAATAGATAGCTAACAGCCGATCGAACGATCGATCGATTTTAGTTGCTCGCTCGAGTATACATCATATGATCAGTACTGTATCTAATATATAAATATGTGTGGAAATGATGAGATGATTATTGTTATTATGGAGTACATTATTGATGATCAGCGCAGATGAGAGATTGATTAATGAGGTAGGTATGATGGAGAAGAAGATAGATATATTGATAGATAGATTTTAGTATTCATTCTTCATCATTCTTAGGGCAAGTTCTTGGAGCTCACTCATTTCGTCGTCGGCAGCGGCGCTGTTATTCTGTCTCCTCTTGCCGATCGCCGCCGGATAATGATATTGGTGATGGTGGAATGGCAGTATTGTAGCCGCGTCATTGCAGTCGGATTCATGGATGGCATTGGAGGAGTCGAAGGAGCTCTGAGGGGAGATATTGTTGGAATAATTAGACGACGATGAGCAGTTGTTGCTGGATTGGAACATTTGGGGGATTATCGATGCCTGCTGCTGGTGGTGGATGTAGTTGATGCTTCCTGTTCCAGCTGGCCATGGAGATGGAGTTGTTGTAGTAGCAGTGAGATCATCTACAGTAGTAGTAGTAGTTGCAGTAGTACTAGTACTGCATGATATCGACCTTGCCGATGATTGAGGATGATGATGGTCCATTACTAACAGGTTTTGTGCTAGCTGCGATTTCGCTTGCATTACCTGTGCCTGCAAATACGCCACCTGCACACCACAGCACAGCACAGCACATTATTAGATGGTGATGGATCAACAAACAAATTAATTAATTAAGGAAGGTAGGTAGGTACCTGTTGCTGGAGGGCGAAGATGTGAGCGACGCAGCCATAGACGGGATCTCTGATGCGAGCCTGAGCTTCGTAGGCAATGGTGACGACGGCCTCGCAGCGATCGGGGACAGGCACGTGCAGCAGCAGCTTCGACACGTTGCTGGCTCCGAACACCTTGTGGATGGCAGCGAACCTCGCCGCTCCTTGCTCCGAGCAGAAGTAAGGCGCGAATATGCACTCCGCCGCGCACTTTCGCCTCAGGAACTTGCACGCCCCGCACGGAGACCCCGTCGCCATTAACCTAACCTCAACCACAATAATTATTTAATTAATGATTCTATCGATTGATTGATTGATTAACCTGCTCTACCAGCAGCAGCAGCAAAATCAATCAATCTATCTATTTCTCTGACTGAATCTAATTAAAGCAGACAGACAACACAGATGGATGGATGGTGAAGAAGGAAGAAGAAGAAAGGAAGGCAGGCGCACGAGGGAACTGGGGAAGGGTGAGGACAGATACATACATACATATATATATATACATACATAACAAGTATAATAAATAAAAGGGGGAAGGGATGTATGGGCATGGGGGACAGTGGAGGTCCCCATGTATGCTTCCAAGGCGACAACTCTAATGCTTATTGCTTTTTTTTTTCATTTATTATGCCTTGCCTCTCTAATTTCTAATTTGTTGCTGCAGTTTAACTCCGTCACTCGCTCACTCACTCTCATTAATTTTATATACTAGTTTATTTGAATTAATAATGCATTGAAATTCAAATTACAAAAAATATTGAATTGGATGCAAACGTGTACCTTCTTCATTACAAAATAAAATAATGGAAATGCAAAGTGGGTTTGTTTGTTCGTTCGTTCAAAGATATGGATCTATCCATCTGTGTATATAAAAATGAATAAAGAAGAAGAATAATAAGTAATATTTTAGCGCCGAACGCCGCACCTGGGAACTGCTGCTTCCACAGTAGTCGTCGTTTCTTTTGTTGCTTTCCGATCTGATCGCACTTGCTGAGGGACACGTGGTCTAAGCATCCATGCATGGGTCGAGTCAAGACTCACAACAATATGATCTTATTGATTAATTATTTATACGATAACATAAACAAGGGGTTTTCATTTTGATAGGCACTCAGTCAGTTAACATCTTAAATATAAATAAAAATGAATCACATGAGTTTGTTCCACAGCATTTTTTAATACTAGTTTTTATAATTAAAACATGGGGCTGCAGTTACTGCCCAACTTTCATATACTATACTATACTCTAAATAAATAGAGCAAAACAAATAATTGGCACTCAAGATAAGTAGCAGAAAGAAAAATTCCAAGTAGTGAACAATTGCCAAAAATATATACTCTCACACATTATTTATGTTAGGGAAGGGAAGTGGGTGTGAAAGTTTGACTTTAAAAGAGAAAGAGAAGAGAGTGAAGACAAAGTTGGTGTTGGAATTGGCATTGGGGTTATGAAAGAAGCAATTAGCTGAGGGGAGAAGGGGTTGGGAATTGGAAATTGGGGTTATTACCAAAATCCAAATAGGGTAGGGTTGGGGTGGGGTGGTTTTACCCATATAATCAGTGTCTTCTACTCTTCCTCCTCTTTCTCAGCTCAGCCAAACATGGAGGAGGAGGAGCTGTTGACTTTACTTCAGGGTTAAATTAATTAATTAATTGATTGATAAACAAATAGTTACCTCCTCGAGTACAATGCCCAACTGGGACTAATTTATAGATACACATATATATATATATATGCATACCTGGCAACTGTCTGTCTTGACATATGCCACAGGAACAGGGGTGTTTGAATTGGAACTCCTTCCCAAAGATTACTAGAAATAGATTGTGCCTGGACTGCAACCAAATTAACAAAAAAAAAAAAAAGGATGAAGGATTTCAGTGAAATTGAAAATGAAATGCAGCTCAGCTCTCCATAGCAATAAAAACATAGTAAAGGAATTATGGATGAATGGACAATGGATAATGTAGAACCTGGGAAAGACAATTAGTTGATAGTGCACTGCTGCTTCAACAAGCTTTCCCCTGTACCAGAAGATCTTAAAGGGAATTTAAATTTGCCCTAAAACAGATTGAACAATTACTAACTAGTAACTACATTATATTATTACGCTATGTGCAGATTATTCTGAAGAGTAGATTCTTCTTAGCTTTAAGCATGCAGCAGATAATGAATACAAATTTTCAAACAGGGTCAATATATGAGTACCTGGAGTTTGCCAAAGAAGTAGTTTTTACAGTGAAAAACGAACACTCAAACTTGTTGAATCCTGGCTAAGTAATACTCAAGTTTTGCAATGAACTTAATAACACAATATAAAATATCTGAATCACCTGAAAGACAGCGCAGGGATCTACAATGGTCATGCTCCAGCAAGGGTGGGATGAACCTGAAAACTAAATTTATCATATGTTATATAAACGGCATATTTTCTATTTCCCAATCAACTTGTTGTATAGGAGAAATTAATACTTGTGGAAGTTACATAATATATATACACAAACACACAAAACATATGTGTCTGTACAGGATGTATGTGATACTGTGTCAACCGAAGATACTTCCTATGCGAAATCTGGACAAATTACTTCATATCAGTGCAAACATAGTACAGCAAAGTACAGACTGAGATCATCAAAAGAAGTCATCAAATGATCCCTCTCGCTCTCTTTCCCAGTGTTGAGTTCCTGCACATGGCAACCACCACAGCACAAATATGCTTAACTAAAGAAACTCCGTTAATTTGAATTGGATAACCATATTACATTTAACAATGTGGGAGAGAAACAAGATTAAAATGCATGGATAATAGAGGGAATTTTCTAAATTGATGGTAAGAAACCTTCTGGTGTGTCATGTAGTCTGAGGAAAACAGACTGACCTGAAGCTTCTCCTGCTGAAAGATCTTGTACAATGAGGTGAAAGGCACCTGGATTGATTGCAAAGTTTGGCGGGGTGGAACTAGGGGCTGGGAAAGTGAAATCTGAGTCGGAAGATGCCGTCTCAGAAGATGAATCATCATTTAAATGATCTCTAGCAGCAAATCCAGAAGTCGAACTCAAGTTGGATGAAGAGCATAAAATCATCTTTAGTTCTGAAAATTGACCGGACATGGTGGATATCATCCTGAGGCACACTAGATCATATCTAGTATTAGTTAAATAACATAATTGAACTTTCTGATTTTAATAGAATACAGCTTCAACATTCTGCCACATTGTATCTAAAGAACGCAACTAAAAATTGAATGATCTTGGGGTAAAGTGAGAACACGTTACAAACATGTGTGTTGCACGACAGTGTGAAAATGTTATAAGGATCTCAATATAAGCAAGGACATCTCAAGCCATCCTGTTAGCTTCTAGAAAACTGCCAGTTTGAGATTAAATGAAAACAGGAAATTTGTAAATCTTGTCCCTTCTAATCAAGATACACCAAAATCCCACAACTTGATGCTCATTCTCTTCAATGTCCAAACAAGTCGAGTTTAATTTAGCTTGTAGTTCTCAGTGAAATTAAGATAAGTCAAACTTTAATGTAAGTTTACATCATTAACCCAAAACTTGGGTTTGAAAGTCAGTGAAATGAGAAGGTTAGGAAAAGATTCTCCTTTTAGGAAATGTATTTTGCAACAAGACATTCCAAATGAGGAAAACAAAAGGAGTGACAAATGATGCATGGAGGAGTTATAACATATTGTTGGTTGACTCCTGTAATATATAAATAAATAATCCGTATCCTAAAGTTTAAACTTTTAGCTGAGATGCGTCATTTAACATCTTTTAACATGAAGTCCCATGTTTGAGTCCTACCATCACCCATTTGTCATTGTCCATATGCAAGATACGTAAGTAACTAATATCCACCTTGCACGTGAGGGGACATATTGACTGACTCCCGTAATATATAAATAAATTATGTGTATCCCTAATGTTTAAGTTCTCATTCTAGTTCTACCAATGAACACTTTTAGATTGTGCATTCAAGTTTAGATCCAGTTATATTATGAAAGAAAACAATTTATAAGAATTATGGTACCTGTTCAGAGATTCTTGGAGTTGATGAACTCTCTTTTCTGTTTCTTCCAACTTCCTCCGTTTTCCCTCTGCCGATTCAAGGGCCTCAGAGTATAATTTTTCCATATTGTCTGCTCGTTCTTTTTCAGTCAGTAGCAACTTCTGTGAATTTAAAGACCAGATTCATGAATATAGTGACACTGTACAATGGACTAACGTCACATAATCCAACATTACCTTCAATTTTGCCACTTCCGAAGTTAAAACCTGAATCTTCTCTCCCTCTCCAACTGGAAGTACAGATTCTTCAATGACTGAGGTGGCTCCTTCAATTGCTTCCTGATTAATCTCACACTCTTTAAGAAGAAGAGCATCTCTTTCTTCAACTTTTGTTTGCATAGCTTCTAGGGACTGCTCCAACTTTGATATCTCCTCAACCTTTTCCTTTTCCTTTTCCTTTTCCTTTTCCTTTTCCCTTTCCTTTTCCAAGTTAGCCTGGAACAAATAGCCTCAGTCTTGATGAAAAATGAGTATCAAATTGCTTTATTATCTGTTGCTATGTAGAAAAGGTTCACATAGGATCATAATAATATGTCAATCTCCCAACCTGATGAAGTGAATATAGTTGTTAGTTGAGGCTGTCTTCTTTTAGGCTGTGCAGGATTTTTTCAAAGAACCACACACACACATGCACATATACTCGCAGATACAAATACAGGCATACACCTACCTTCATACATACAGATTTGTGGCGTATATAATGTACTCTATGTTAAAAATGAATATGAATGCAGACAATGCCCGGAGATCAAACTTAACGTGGCAGGGAAAAAAGAAACACGAGGATGCATTAATCTTTCATGCTGTGAATGTAATACCAAATCTTCCACTAGTTTTACAAGCTGAATCCTTGTTTCAACTAGGCACAAGTTTTTCCCTGTGGTATGCTGACATTTCCGTTGACATTTCTGTTGCGACTTCACTAGTGTGCAAGTTAACAAGATATAAAAAGAAAAAGAAAGAATGAAAAAAATGAAAGAAGTTAACAAGATATGAAATCTTTTTTTTCGTAAATATTGCCAAATCCACATTGTATTAAAATAAAAAATTATAACATGATCATCTTGCACTAATAACCATAGTAGTTAAACAGTTTAAATTATATCATAAGTATGGTCTGCTGTTAGCCTCAAAAGACTACATAAATGTGCTAAAATAATTTTCAGTGAGATTTCCTCATTTCAGTAGAATTTGGCATCAGTGGGAAAAGGGAGAAGCTCTGTAGATTCATAACGAATACACTGCCATTTGTATAAGAAAGCTTGGCTTACCTTGTTCAATTCATAGAGCTCTCTCCTAGCAACCATTCCCCTTAATCCACACTGGATAACAATTGTCACCTCCATGAGTCTCTTGTAGTATGAGCAAGCACTATGACGACGCCAATAGGCCTGAAAATTAGTATTTTTGTCAAGGTTCCAGGATATAGCATGAATCTCAAAAATTTTAATTTGCAGAAGAAACAACTTAGTCACCTGTATAACAGTTGCTCCTTTGCTCTGTTTCCTATATCTATACATTACACGGGCTCCCAATTTTCTCATGCCTGTTTGCATTGTAATCACTGCACATTTGTATTTTGTGAAGCTCTTCCTGCCCAAAAGCCCTCTCAAACTCTTCTGAATTTTTAAAGAAGCTGAATCTTCTACCATAAAGTTGAAAGATCGCCGAGCAAGTATTCCTAAAGTCAAGGAAAATGAAATGCTCATAATGGGTATACCCAAACCTTCAGTTGCTTAACAACAAATTGACACACAAATTAGCATGCTTGGGATAACTCAAATACTTGATTAGAATAGTTGAATGAGTCAAAATATAGAATGAATTGCAGGTTGAGCAGCAGAAGATCAGACAACTTGAAATTTCAACTAACCTCGACACATAGATTGCAAAGAAACCGCTGCCTTTCTCTTGGCAGCATAGTCTTTCCGAGCAATATACCGTCTACCATCTCTTTGTATTATCTTTGCTGAATGACCAAGCTTTGTTAATCTACGGTTATCTAATTCAGCCATCTCACCAGCCCTCAGAAAGACTTTTGTCTTTCCTATCTGCAATCAAGGTGCAAAGTGCAATAAAATATGAAGATAAAGAAAATAGAATAGGTATTTTCACACACACACACACACACACAAAAAAAAGGATATTGATTAAGCAATATAAGAAAAAATTCCTGCTGCAAAGGAGGAGTTTTACATCATAGAGCCAATGGGATATATCTATATAGCATTTAAACATCAAAGGATGCTTGATCAAAAAAGTGAACAGGTAAATCAGTCTAAACAAAAATCTACTATTGGCAGATGGCCATTGAATGGCATTCAATTAGTAACACACGTAGGAGGAGGGCTCCAGGGGAGATGTGGCATTCCCTTATATATTGGTTATCAGATCAAGGAGCAATAAACATTGAGCCTAAGAAGAAATTCAACAGTACCTGAACCTGAGAAATGCCCATCTTCTCCAAGATCTTTATGCATGCAACCCTTTCATCTTCACTTCTCACATTAGAATGGAAAGGAAAATAATAGTTTATCATTACGAGCAGTAACTCCAACTGGGGGGAAAAACTACAACAACAAACAACATATACAACTACTTACTTTTCTTTCACAACTTCTGGAGCAAGGTTGCCAAACCGATGTAGAAATTCAGGAAACGTCTTATGGGTAGGGTAACCAGAACAACTTATTCGTATTGCTTCCAAAACACCCTGCAGGTAACCAAAAGGAGTGCAATATGTTTGGTACACAATCAGAAAACTATGAATTATAGAAGAAATGAATATCTACATGTAGAATGCACTCACACCACAACGCAGTTGGTGCAAAGCATTGCCATTCTCGAAAAGGCCAGGCTTGAACTGATTATTAGGCTTCACGCATCGAATATAATGAGGTTCTGTGGAGTTTAGGGTCTCCATCAACTGATGGAGTTGTAACTGCAACAATCATTCAAATGATGAATTCAAGCGCCAAACTGTAACTCTGTATTATATATGTTGTTAGTACTTAGTAGCAAGTAAGAAAAATAAAATACCCTGAAGCGGGAAGCTATTGATGAGAACTTGGAACACTTATTTGAAGATTTGGTAGCCTCTTCGGTGATTGGAGGAAATAGTGCAGATACAAATGGACATTGAGAAGCAGTTAAAAGGTCTTGGTGTTCAGGAACAACGTAATCCTTGTTCTTCTCCATAAACTGATCAGATTGATATTGAACCTACAAATAGAAATAATATAATGAAAAATTATTCACTAAACTGCAATACAAAATTACAAATTTGATTGCAAAGTTAGATTCAGATTACCTCTCCTGCATAATGTGCAATTGTAAATTCAGTGCGCGCCAATTTTGGTTTAATGAAACGTTTGTGCGATTTGAATGTCTGGTAAAGCTTGTCCGAAAATGTTTGGGCTGTTGACTTTGGAAACATACTGGGAACAAAGCAAAATTGCATGATAGCGTCAACTTGAGTATGAACAATAATTGTTTGCAAGCTGCCTGCAGGAATGTAGGATGAATTTACCAGGTCTCATCAAGAAGAGCAATTATTCCTCCAGGTTTCTGCAATTTCCATTTAAAAGTACTGCATAAAGATATTGCTCTGGCCATAGATTCTCAATGACATATGAAATCTAATTCCAGCACAAACAAAAGCAAAAGTGAACACACACCACATTTACAGTGACTATCTATACAGAAAGTTTTGAAGCTTGATATAGAAGGGGATCAGTGCGGGGGCTTAAGAAATATATTATATTTCAATATATAATCTAATGACAGAAATTTAAACTTAATGGTATCACTGAGAAAGCACACTGAGTCAAATATAAGATACTTCCAGTAGGAAATGCAGTGATAATATTGTCATAATGATAAAAGTAGTTATTTTATAGTGTTTGTGATCTGCACTCTAACTTGACTGGCTTTTAAACTATTTAACAACTTGTTTTGCTTTCAATGCTTCAACTAAAATATAATGCCTGAGATGTATAAAACTCTAGTACAATTATAGATTTTAGTAGTTCTGTCCTCTAGAACATGCCTTTCATCTCATGGTAACTTCTTAGACATGACACAACTACAAAATCTGCAATAACACAAAGAATATGCTGAACATAGAATGACCTTTTCAATAAGATCCAGGACATCTTGGTTATCAACAAATTCTATATAGCTCCAGTCAATCTCCTCTTTAGTGTATTCATCCTGCTGCATCTTAAAAATATGCTGAACAAAGAACAAATGAATTTCAGTATTGAGAGAAACATAGCTTATAACCTATTAACCAACCATGCAAATAAAAGTACCTGATTAAAATGCTGCTGTAACTTTTCATTGGTTAAATTTATACATAACTGTTCAAAACTACACAGGCAAAACATTAGCTTGCTGCATATAGTGCCACAGCAGGACAGTAGTATTGCCGACCAATTCTTACCTATTATTTTTAAAACTTTCAAATCCATATATATCAAGAACTCCAATAAGACATTTGGAATTTGGATCTTGTCCAATTGTGATATTTATTTTGTCCACCAACCTAAAGATTGAAAACAAGGGAACAAATAATTAAAATATTTCCAGATACACAAAGAAAAAGAGAACACCATGTCAAACAAGCATGTACCAGTCAAATAGGCGAGAATATATTGTCTTAGATAACCCATCCCGACTAACTACCGCACCATCAGGATCAAGACTTCTCTTGATAACTTCTTCCGGAGTGACCATAACTCGCTTCACTAATGCATCTTCTAGTGCATCAGGACTACACCTAAAATTACAGAGAAAAATGAAATCATTAAACTGATTTTCTCATGGCATAGAGCGTACTGCAGGAGTTCAACTTCAATCATACATTAGAAGCTCTGCTGAAGTCTGAAGATGGAACTTTGACTTGTCATTCTCAAGAACTGACGAATCAATTTCTTCCCCCTTAGCAAAGGTAACATTGCCAAGATGGAGAATAGCAGCAACTATTCTGAAAACTGCATCCTGAAGAGTAAGAGAAACTCTTATTCTGTGAGGAGAAAGTACGGGCAGCACTATTGATACCATGGTCTTATTGCTTTACCTGTTCATGTTGACTTATGCCAACAATATCCATTGCCTGCCTTGTCACCAAATACTGCTGAGCATCACTAATACCATCTAATTCATAGCAACTAGATTGCTTAAGGTAATGAAATGATGATGCATGTCCCATCTTATACTTCTTGGCTTCCTGATAAAATGATAAGATACTGAGCAACATGATGCATATGCTTTGTAAGTTTCCACAAAATGGATAGATGAAGAAAGTTAGTGTGATGGAAGATGACCTCCTGCGGTGCTGCACACAGATAATAAAAACAGTGATAATTTCGTTCCGGATCCGAAATTTGACAGACACGAGATTTCTCGAGGAGATATGTTCTAATGGCTGCCCCTGATATTTTTCCACGGTTGTCAAACTGTATTTCGACAAATTTACCAAATCGGCTGCACTATTATAAGTCAATTAGAAATTTGAGAGAGACAGCTACCAAAGTTCAAGAACTAATTTCAACCCAACAATTTCATAGACTCGCCTGGAATTGTCATTTCTGACAGTTTTTGCATTCCCAAATGCTTCAAGGACTGGATTTGACTGCAAAGAATGATACAAGGAAATTTTAACATATAACCTCAATGAATAACACTACATGCAGAAGCACCAAAATTGAACTTCAACCAAGTCTTCTAAAAATTTTCACATGTTATATGTGTATATTCGGTAAGACAAATCAACACTTTTTTTAAATCCAAAAACAAAGTCTTACTTTTAAAACATAAAACCCTACTTCTCAAAAAGCATGCATCAATTTTCTATGAAACAATTGCTTACTTTGTAATTGAAAACAAGAAACCAACACATATTTATCAAAGTTTAATGTCCTCAATTTAGCATAAAAATTCAATTAGCCATACTTGCAAGTTGCACATTCAGATATGTTCCAAAATTACCAACAAGAATTTTCATTCAAAATTGAAAAATGACCGATAGATTTCCCTTCTCTTAGATTGGATGTCACTCCAGGCTGCTAACATTGTGAAAGATCTTGGTGCAAACATGCAAAAGCTGCCGACAGATCACTAGTGTTTCTGATGGTCACAGCTGACATAAAAATGTAGTAAGACACTCAAGGTGCTATTGCAACCTACATGTTTGATACTAGTGGAATGAGCATTTATGGAGGATCCAAGAGAGTGTTACTTGTATTGACTTTCTTGAGAAGTTCAGAGCCACATAAAATGTGGAGTTTGTACGCATATAGTGTAAGAATTAGACAGGAATAAAGAACTGGCCTTACAATAAAATTTTAATATTTTGATAATTGAGTCTTGAGTTTAGTTAGAGTTGGATTAGAACTAAGAGATAAGTTAGTTTTCATTTTGGCTTATAAAGAGCATAGCCTGAAACTGGACAACAAGCCTTCAGATATTAGCTCATTCCTTCATGTTTTGAGAATTTCCATAAAATTATTCTTTTTGCCTTTATCTGCGTGTTTCTGTAAGTGCATGAGGGTTCATAGCTTCTCAATCCAGTTAGTATGGTTCAAACAGGGTCCATGCTTTTGATCACAGTTTTTGGAGAGGAAAATGTTAATGCAATTGTCAAGCCTACTTTTCAATTTATTCCATTACACACGATACATCACCCCTTTAACAACTTCATGTTTATGAATTTTACACATCATTTTGGGCATGTTCTTGGCATTTTCGTGAAATTTGAACTCATGCATTTGATTTGACTATGATTTACCTTAATATTATTAGGTACTAGAAACTCATTATATAAAAGAAAAAAAGGTCACACAATTATTATACATCATAAAACATAAAATAAAAGGATTGAATCATAGATCTACCTCAAGAACTTGTTGTTCAACTGTTCTACGTTCAGCTCCTTCATGGCTACGACCACCCAGATGTGCAAGGTATTGCATAAGCATCTTAGTAGTTTCAGTTTTACCTGCTCCACTTTCTCCACTTACCAATATTGAATTACTTTTGCCCTCATTTATCATTGCCCTAATAGATGTGAAAAGATTCAGGTGTGATCAGAAGTATACTTAGAGAAAAAATGCTGACAACCAAGTGCAGTATCACCTGTAAGCAATATCTGCAACAGCGAAAACATGAGGGGGTAGTTCTCCAAGTAGCTTTCCCTTGTATTGTTCCATTATGTGGTTCTCATACAAATCAGGTGGTCTTTGAAAAGGATTGATGGCAATAAGAATGCTGCCAGTATAAGTCTGCCACAATGTCAGAGTAGCATATGATAACATGATGGACACACAATAGCTGGAGTAATCCAATGCTCTCTCTCAACATGAAATGAAACAAAGAATCACACATGAAATATAAAGTGTCATTTATATCAACTTACATAGATCTTATTCTGCATGTATCTTATTGCAAGATTATGAAGAACCCCAGGTTCATGCAAATAAGATAGTTTGGTCATGTCATCAATCCCACCTTCTGGAGCATCCACGTCATATGGGTATACTTTGGATAACTTAGTAGTAACCTGTACATGAATAATTATTGGTCACATACCTGCTGCTACAATATAAATTCTATTAGATGCAATACACAATAATATTCTCCAAAGGATATTTGGTTCATTAATATACATAGAAAAGAAGAAAAAATCAACAAGGAGAACCGGCTTTATTTGCCCAAATTGTATATATAACATAATGCTGCTGTCAACTTTATTATTATTCTACACAAAGAGGGAGAAAGAGAGAGAGAGAGAGAGAGAGAGAGAGAGAGAGAGAGAGAGAGAGAGAGAGAGAGAGAGAGAGAGAGAGTCTTCAAAGGCAACAACAGATGTCATGTGAACCATGTTCTAACTAAGTAATGTCCAGCTATAGTATCGATTGAAAAAGACAAAAACAAATAACACGTGTCTGTACATTTAACTGGAAAGCAAGTGTTTGAAGCTAACATAACTAGTATTTCTAAGGGGAAAAAATCAGTAAGGAAGAGATCGACTCAATGAGAAAGTACTAATTTTATACATTTACAATCTCAATATAAAATGTCTGTCTTCAATTCACATGCATGCATAGATATGAATCATTATGCATGCCGGCTGAGAATTCAGCTCCAAAGATTCCCATTCAAGACATCAATAGATCAGTGGGCAAAACTTGGTATTTAGCTCAAGAGACCTTTCCATATTGACAACTTCAATTCTTAACAATTCACAATGTTTTTTATATGATAAAATCAATGTTGTGAATTTTATTACATCTACAAAAGCTTGTTTACCTCCCTTTCGTCAGATGTTCGGACCGCAACCTCCTTTCCTTCAATCTTGGTCACTTGCCCATCAATCCAAACGGCGTCGGGGTCTTCAACCCACACATAAGAACCTTCTGTGATATTTACTGGGGTACCCTGTATTCGAAAACCATAATGTATATCACAAGGCATGAGTATGAGGCAACTGTGAGTTGGAGAGTGGAAATGTTCAGAATAAAATAATTTACTCTCACATAATGAGTAACAAAATCATATCCAACTGATAATAGAGACATTTAACTTCTGGGAAACTTATATGGGCAGTGATTATAATCATATTGCTGCTTATAGGATGTGTTTTGAATGAAATTATATTTTCATTGCACTTACACTCTTGGCTTCAACTTTGGAGTAAATGATCATATTCTCATATAACATCCTAACGAAATGAAGTTTTCATGAACTAAAGGACTGCAGATAATTTATACATCCCCTTTCTAAGTCGCATAGAAGAACTTGTGCCGAAACCCTTACCAATCTAATCCTAGCTGCATTATAATTACGAAACATGATTCAAGAAGATAACTTAAATTCCGCACAATTGAACAAGGAAAAACGAAAATGGAATGAAATTCGATAAGCCTACCATCTTGATTCAAGAAAAGAAAAACTATGAACACATCTGATCAGGAGAAGGTTCCTTTTGGTGTCTGCGGCATTCAACACATCCCAATTCTTGATCACAATGCTGCAAGTTCCATAAATCCAAATCTTGAATTGGGAGGCCCAGCCGCAATCCTGATACGACGGCGTGCGGGGAACGCATGAAGAAAAACCCGGGGCAGCGTGGGGAGGGCTGGGTTGGGTTCGGGAACAGCGGCCTTCCCTGGAGCTGATTCGTGAAAGAGAGTGGGGTGGGGTGGCAGAGAAGTCGGCCGTCGGATCGGGAATCCTCTCCGGGTGCGCGTCGAATTGGAAATGGGTTTGCGGACAAGGGCTGGGGGACGTTATCTTCTGGCAGTCCGCCATTTTCGGAGACGTTGAATCCTTCGTTCTGTGAACGAGGGATGATAACAATTTGAATATGATCGGAATTGCAACTACAGCCCCCCAACTTTATAAATTTCCATTTATAATCATAAACAATTAATAGTAATAATTGAACATCACAGATGTTGATAGCAAGTATATCAAACATAGATGGATCCATCCATATATGACTAAAATTAATACAATACATATTATTTAAATTGTTATCATATGTTATTAATTTTAAAACATTTTTTATTTATTAAGTTGTTTTTTTTTTAGAATGTTGCGGATTATTGTTATGTATTATTAATTGTTATCTTAATATGCAATACACATAGGGTGTGTTTGTTTGAAGGATTTTGGAGGATTTCCACTATTCATCCAATTTTTTCCCCCCAAAAACATCAAATCAAACACCTATTTTTCATTTTTTTATATTATACTAAAAATCAATTTTACATTCAAAACATCACATCAAACCCTATTTATATCACATCATACAACTATTCAAATTCAAAATTTTTACTATTCAAATCTCAATCCAAAATCCAAACCCCCAAACAAACACACCCATAATAAAAACAACCATGTAAGCTATAATAATATACTTCCTCCGTCCCAATACAATAGTCTTGTTTACTATTTTTTGTTAATCTTAAAAAAATAGTCTTATTTTTATAAATAATCATATCACCATAAAACTACCCCTACTTTTTTATTTTTATTATATAATGGCCACTACTTTTTACACTAATACACCCACAAGGGCAAAAAAGTTTATTATATATACTTTTTACCAACTACCAATATAATATCAATATTCCTTAAATCTCGTGTACAATCCAATTAAAACTATAGTTTTGGGACGGATAGAGTATATTATATGATATAAATGATCGTATCACTTAAAAGGTGGAGGATAAATTCAAACTCGTCAATTTGAGACTTAAAATTCTGATGCCATATTAGATTATATAAATGGTCATTTCAATTAAAAGTTTAAATGATTAGAATACGCATTATTTATATATTTATTTACAAACAGAAATCAACTCCAATATAATATAAATACAACAATAAATAAACTAATGTTACATGACAAAATTTTACGTATAATACCTATTTTAGTATGTGAAATATATTAATACTGACATAAATATAATGTGCAACAATCAACATATATTTTCATACAATAATGGTTTATATTCTATGTGTCAATTAAGCTAATCAATAAGATATTGATTAACCGTAGTCATCACTTAATCTCTTTTATATTGTGTATAACCTTCCCCCCCCCCCCCCCCCCCCCCCTTTTTTTTAATTAAATTAGACCTCCTTCTATTTCACTTTTTATTTTTTTATACCACTTTATTAAAATAACATATTTTATATCAAAATTATTCATTTAAATTGAATTAATAAATACATTTATGCTATATTTACTTAAGATTTAGATTCATACTATTTATCATGCAAATTTTTAAATAATTTTTATAAAAATATTTTGTTTATAAAATATCAATTAAAGTATTATTAAGGTAAAACACAAAATCAAATGGTAAATAAATAATCATTTTAAAGTGAGTAAACATAATTAATCTATAAACGAATACAATAACGTTCAAACTAAATCAGTTAAATATATTTTTTATTTGTTTTTGGAATTTTGCACAATTGGACGTGCGAAAGTGTAAAGCCCGTTTCAGTTTGGATTGGTTTGTAGAAACTGTTTTTAGCTTTTGCTTTTTAAAAAATATTTTAAAGTTTAAAAATATTTTTGTCAAAGCACATTGAAAGTAGCTTATAAAATAAGTAAAATATTTTTCAATTAAAATTATTATTTTATCACTAATAATAATAATAATAATAAATATAATATTGTACTATCTCCATAGTCGAAATAAAAATAAAAAGACTAAAGTATTTCTATTAGTATGGTATAATATAAAGGTAATGATATTTGCTTTGTTTAATATATTGTAAATTAAAATGACAGGCAGTACACTTATAAAAAAAAATAGATACTTTTGTTATGAACAGACAAAAACAGTCAAGGAACAGAGGAAGTAATATATTATAAAAATAATTAATTTATATATTATATTTTTAAAAAAATTAGAAAATATAATTATATTATTATTTTTAATTTATATATTATATTTGAATTAAAATTTAAAATTACAATTAAGATATCAAATTTAAATATAAGTAGTATATAATTTTTTTTTTTAATTATAGTAAAATTATAAAATATAAGTTATAAAATTTTAAAATAAAATTGAAAAATACGAATAATTTAATACTCCTACTGTATTGTAATTTTATTTTAATTTATATATTTTTTTTAAATTAAAATTTTAAAATATATTTTCTATATTTTTATTTAAAATATTTAAATATAATTTAAAAAAAAACTTTATGTACTATATTTTTATAAAAAAATATAATTATATTAACCACATGTTCTTTCCAATAATTTTAAACACTTTCAATTCTATTACCTCTAAAATTTTGTAATGAATTATCCAAATACAAAATCAAATTATTTTTACTAACTTATTTTTTAAGCCAATTGCCCTATTAAATGATGCAAAACGGCTAAGAGACTTTCAATTAATTAATTAATTAAGCCCAACGGCAAAGAAGTGCTGACTTTCATTTCAATTTTCAACTCCGTGTGGAAACATTCGAATTAATTAATGAATTAATGATTGACTGTGCTTTTGCTTTAATGACATTTTGAGATTGTCTTCTGTCTGAAGTTTATTTCTCTTCCAAAGTCATTATAGACCGATCATTGTTTGTGCAGATATATTCTATATTCATTGTTTTGGATTCTCATGGAAAAAAATAAAAATAAAAATAAATTTTATAAACAATAAAAGTTAAACATAAAATTACGAGCCTTTAATAAGTATTTTAAATATTGAATACAATTTTTTTTAGAAAAAAAAAAATAAAAAAAAAATTGATGTATTAGGAGAGAATAAATATATACTCTTTTTAACTACTTATAAAAAAATAGTAATGTAATTTTCTTTTAATTCATTCACTCATAATATATACATTTTTTTAAAAGTAAGTTTGACTGTACTATAGATTATAAATACTTCTAATTTTAAATTTATTTACACTAATACTGTTACATCAAATTTAAATATATGGACAAAAAAATATTATAAATTATCAACTAAATACTACTATCTCTACTCATTTATTTATTGTATTCATTTTTTTTTTCGTCTGTCGTTTTTTTTTTTAAAAAAAATATTATACATTTTAATTTTTTAAATTTATAATTGTTTAAGTTTGATTAAACTAATTAATTCTCTTAATATTAATTTAAAATTATATTATTACAGAATAATTATTTTCACTAATATATTTTTTAATTATTATTTAAATATAATCTTTTTTTTTAAAAAAAGAAGAAAATAATTCTAAATTTGTATGATAAATTTTTTGAAAAAAAATAATAATAAGAGAACAAAATCCCTGTTTTTTAAAAATAAATTTATTATACTAAAGTGTATAGTTTTTTTTTTATTATTTATAAAATGAATGTGACAAGGTCATGGGTTCAAACCCCACGCTTCTAGGTCTGCCTGTTACACACTTACACATGGTTCGTTTGCAAGGTATTAGGTTCGGGCCTAGTTTGCAAAGTAAATTTTACACGGTAAAATTAAAATTGAATATATAAAATATTTAACATTTCTATTATACTGTGTATATATATATATATAATATGAACATGTAAATCTGCATGTAAGACTTAAATAGGTACATTTTATTTGAGCAGAAAAAAATATTTTAAGATTATTAAAACCAAACACGCCTTGCTTATGCAGTGAAAATACAATACGTCAAGAATAATATTCTTGCTGGAATACATTGTTTGACTAATTGGATAAGACGAGAATGAGAAAAACGACAAGAACTTGATTCTTGTTGCATTTGCTCCAATAGCTTTTTCAAATCCAATTATAATACTTAAAAGCTCCCATTATTATTTTTATTTCTTTGAAAAATATTTATTATATTTATATTATACTTTTATTTTATTATTATAAATATAATTTATAAAACCATTAAAATAAAAAATTTATGGGCAAAATTTTAACTATATACATATATAAAAATATATTATTTACGATATTATATTAAAATTAAATTAAGGTGAGGAAGTATGATTTACAAGTTTTATTTATTTATTTTTCTTTATGACATGACAATTTCAGGTCAGATTTAATTAGACATTTGTAAGTTATGTGAATATTAATATAAAGAATATTCCACTTTTGCAAATTTTTATTTTTATGTTATTAAATTAAGAATGCATCCCAAGAGAAGAATTGTCGGGTAAAGATATGTCAATTCCAACATTCTCAAATAAAGTAAAAAGGAAACAAGAAAAATAAAAATTGAAGGAGAAAAATGGGGTGACTAATATATTTAAAATTCAATTCTCCAAACAAACACAGTGCAACAATTTACATTTTGGAGTTTCAATTCACGAGACATCCAATAAATCTATCGCTAAATATACAATGAATTCTACGATTCAACAAATATTGATCACTAATTATTATATTTTACCGTCCTCTTTAGATATCCATATATAGGAAACTAACGATTAAACTGTTGTTAAAAAATTAACATACTACTTGTCTAATTGAAAGTAATTGACGCTCATGGGTTAATCTTCCTCTCCAATTAATTGAAAAATCAAATCATTCTTCTTCCGTTGAGCTTTAAGTCCTAAAAACACTCAGGTTGTATTTTTTTGTGGTTTTATCATAGTTTTTTAGTATGCAATTATTTTTTTTTCTCCAAAAATATCACATAATTTTTTTTTATATTATATTACAAATTTATTTTACATTTAAAATATTATATCAATTTTTATTTATATCACATCAAATAATTATTGAAATTTAATATTTTAATATTCAAAAATCCAAACCCAAAAACTAAAACCACAGACAAACACATTCTTCTTAAACATAAGAAATATAAAAAACAAACTATAGAAAGAGTTATGTTAGGCCAGCTCCAATCCATTAACTCCATTTATTCAGTTTTAATTCCAAATATGCAATTGCTACAATAATTTCACTTCTAACATTTTGTTTTTATTTGTATTTTATTTATCATTTAACTATCTCAATTTTTTTTGACAAATTTATATATTTCATAAAATATTATATTTAATTAACACAAACTACAAACATAAAAGCAAAATAACTAAAGCCCATAATAAAAAACATCAATAAATATTGTGAAGAAGTAAACAAACCCTGTATTAATCATTATGTGGACACTTAGGAGTATAAATATTTACACAATTTTTAAGACTCAGACTTGTTCAATTTCAATATAACGTGCATATATATATATATATATATATATACTATGCAGTAGTCAACAGTCAAAACTCGATTCCATGAAAAATAAAATTACACATAGTGGAAAAATTCCAGTCATCCCTTTTCCTTATTCTTCTTCATGCTCATGCATGCATTCTATATCTATCTATATATATGTGCAGATTGATTGTCTGATAGACAGTCCAATCCAAATTAAAGACAGTTCAGTTTGAAGAAAATTAAAACTTGAATTTTGTTTAGCACGATCGATGATGTCTCCTATTACCATAGTGATCTTGTTTATTGTCCTCCTAACCATCACCACTTCTTCTTCTTCATCATCATCTTCAAGCAGATATTGCAGAGCCTCAGCCACCAGAGTCTTGGCCCAAAAACAACAAGACCACCGCTATCTATGGATCAACAACAACAATAATAATAATATTAATATTAAAGAAGACAACCACCAGCAACGCCTCTTGCTGCCCTCGTTGCGTGCATGGCGCCGCCCCGTCAACCCACCCGCCCCTAATGGCTGCACATGGATCCCCAGCGGTGGAGGGACGCCCTGTGCCGCCGCCATCAACCAGCGCAACCATGCCGCCCGCCGCCGCTCCTCCTCTATCATCCCCAATCAAGCATATCTTCCCAACCAGGTGTTTCAGAATGGAATTCATCCATAAATAATAATTCCAAGAATAATTTTATGTTGTGATCATTAATTTTTTTCAGTAATTATTACGCATTCTGGTTTGGCGACGAAATAAGAAACAGAAATGATGCAATTGGGATAAAAGCGATGAAGTCTTTTGTGAAACAAAATTGCAATCTTTAATTTGTGACAATCAAGTCATTATGGGTCACGAGATAGAATAAGTTTTCTTGCCTACGAAAAAGATTACTAAATATTATTTCTTTCAATAGAGCAGCGTAAGTTTTGACTGTGGACTTCACATCCTAACTATCTATAAGGAATTAATTTCTTGCAGCAAGTTTCCAGTCAAGTATATGAATAAAATCGTTCAAAGATAGAAATATATATTTCATTCCATCAGTTTTCCTCTTTGGTTAACTGCACAAGTTTATGGATTTGACCAAAGAACTCTAACAACACAAAAAAGTTTCGAGTTTCACATCTGTTTATATTAGCTACTCATAAATGTCTTCTCTTTCACTTCTCCCACAGCTTCTTCAATGAAATTACATTGAATGATCGTCTAATCTAAAAAAAAATTTTCCATATAACAACTAGTAAGCCAAATATAAAAAAAGATGTGTGTATCATCTTGTATATAATTTCTCGAACAAGAACAGCACAAATCGACAAAAGAAGCAAATCCCCTTACAAGTCTACTCATAACTTCCACGACTCGTTACAAGAAAACGCGCTACAACACCATATGATTAGTAGTCATATTACCGATAAGTCATTTGGACAGAGCAGCAGCCAAGCGTTGTTTTAAATTCTCGGCATCGCCACCATCAGTTCCAATGCAAAAAGTATGAACAACTTCGCCGGCATCAGTTATCGCGACAGTAGATTCTTGAGCAGTCACTTGCTGATCCCTCAATGCCTTCACAACTCCGTGCACCGGGTGAGACTCCAACGGGCAGCTCACTCTAACAACTGCATCTTCGACCCTTTCATGAACGTCGATATCCAGTGGAGCAGCAGCAGCAGCACCCACTTTTTCTGCTTCCAAGTTTCTTATTTTCACCTGAAGATCATTGATGTAGGCGATGGCGTCGCCTAGCAGAGATGCTTTGTCCATCTTTGAGATATTCGGAACCACAGCCCTCAATGCATAGAATCGCTGGTTCAGCTTCTCCCGTCTCTGCCTCTCGGCTTCCACGTGGTTCAGTGGCTCCTCCCTCCCATTGGCCGGCTTTCTTCCCCGTTTTCGGGGCTTTTGTATGTCGAATGCCACGGAATCCTCCTTAGCTCGGTGCCCATTTGGTGAATTGCCTTTTTCTCTGCTCCCACCTGTCGATTGCAAGTCATGTGATTCCGAAGAAAACATGGAACCATCTTCCAGATTTGGAGATATGCTCATGCTCAAATCTTGCCCGAAAATCTTTGGACAGGGTTTCGCCAGCACGACGTTGGATTTCACAACAGATTCGGCCATTTCATTGCCGGATACTCTCTCCGGCATACCCTTTTCCTCTTCACTACGCCCCAACTTCTTCTCCATCTCCAATCAACACAAAATCCTCACAACACACAACAGCTATATATCTTATCGAATTAATACAATCCTATCTCAGAAAAGTAGGAAATTAAAAACAAATTCAATCTTCAAGCTTGAACAAAGCAGTTAAATCTAAAGCTATCATAGAGCAGCCACTCTGTAGAACGGAAATCGAAAACAGCAACAAAGAACTACCAGAAATTAAACAAACAAACGTATAAATTCATAACATATAAGAAATCAAAGAAAGCCAGGGCTTTTAATCCGAACCAAAATAAACCTTCAATCCCGAGAATTGCGTCCTAAATTTAGGAACGCGCACAAGACGAGATACCGCCAGCTACGGTCATTCTCAGTCTGAACCGAAAAATATATATAAATAAAACAAGAGAATGTAAGAACGTGATAAATGCACCAAAAGAGAGAGAGAGAGAGAGAGAGAGTTCTAGCCTGACTCGAGCACGAAGACTGGTTCATGAATTCTCTCACTGTGGAAGCTGAGAAAGGGGCTCGTGTTCCATGTGGATTGAGTTTCGATTGGGTTCGAAGTATCTGAACAACCCTAATTTTAACTTTAATTATTGCACCCTGTATCTTAATTCAAATCGACCGTCTTATTCTGGCTCTGCCACCTGTCCATGTGGTGGAATTTTTTATTGACTTTGGATGTAATATGTTGCCGCAATTTTGACTCTTGTCTGAAATTACACTTTTGCCCTCGAGAGGGATAATCTAGGGATTTGTTATTAACCTGTGGGCCAGGATGACGGATTTGCCCTCGTTCGTCGCCTCTATTCGGAGCCTCCGAAAGGTTTTTTCCTATCGCTCGCCTCTGCCCTTCAAAATTTATCAGCTTCCTTTGCCCTTCATTTTTTCAGGTATTTTCAAGCCTTTCAGTCCTCTACTTTTTTACGTATTTCGAAATTGATTGTGGCGCGCCAAAGCTCAAGAGGCGGCTGTGTCGCTCGCTGGGGTTGTGAGTGGGTTTTGATCTGAATGCGTCTTTGTGATTCAACCCTAATTTTGTGTTTCGTTGATTGTTTGATTCAGCGGCGACGATTTTTTATTTTTGATTTTTTTAATTTAAGGCGAAATTTTGGTTTTGGAATGAGGGTTTTTTTGGGGGGATTGGATGTGATTTCTGCTATCTCCGTGTTTTGTTTAACGTTGTGTGATTGGTTTGGATTTTGGTACACGCCTACACGGTGAATTTGTAACTTAATTGAATTGTTTCTTCTGTTGAATGATGAATGCTTATTGTCGTTGATTTTGGGGATCCGTTTTTTTTTTCTTTAATTTTACACTATTACTATTTGTATATAGAGTATCGTAAATTGTTATGATTCTTGATTACCAGCAAGTCGTGGTGAAGGCGGAGAAAGCTGCAAACGATTCTAATTAAGATAAGTTAGTGAAACGGATGGTGAATCAGGATCAGTTAATTGGTGCAAAACGAGCAATACAATTAGTTCAGGATGGGCATTTCAGTCTTGATCACAATCATATCTCTGTGAGTGGACAAAGTTCTGCCATGAAAACATCTGAATCGAACCACAGTTCGTATCTGGACTTGAGGCAAGAAGATGAGGATGATATAGGCTCCGGACAAGGCATTAGTTGTAGCCATTTTCAGGCTCCAGGTATTGACCCAGGTATGGCTCGTTCACATGCTCAAGATGTTGAATATCACAATGAGTATGATCAAGGCAGTGAGGATGAGAGTAAGTATGGCGTTGTAGACCAGAAGTTTTTAAATCTTGACAGTGGAGAAGCAAGAATTCATCAAGAGGATGGTGCCTCAGGAAATCTTGACAGCCAATTGACCCTTACAATTCCAGGCGACGAATTGGCCTTTTCAGGCAATAATGATTTTACCATTATGGAAACTAGTGACGTAGGTGGTGAGCTGATGATCCACCCGGATTCTGAAATGGGCGCCATGTCTGCACCCCATCTTTCGATATCCCAACCTGAGTATGGGATGGCATATCCTATTGTTCAATCCCGAATGATGGTTCCTGCACCAATGCAAGAATTGACTGTTGGACAGGAATTTCCTGATGTTAAGAGCTGTCGCAGGGCATTGAGGGACATGGCAATTGCGATGCACTTTGAGATCCAGACAGTCAAGTCCGACAAGATGCGTTTCACTGCCAAATGCGCCAGTGAAGGATGCCCGTGGCGTGTTCATGCAGCTAAGCTTCCTGGCGTTCCTACTTTCACCATTAGGACTATTCATTCGGAGCATACCTGTGGTGGTATAGATCATTTAGGTCACCAACAAGCTTCCGTACAGTGGGTGGCTAGCTCAGTAGAGCAACGCCTCAGGGAAAACCCACACTGCAAGCCGAAAGAGATACTGGAGGAGATACATCGCGAATATGGTATCACTTTGTCATACAAGCAAGCTTGGAGAGGGAAGGAGAGGTTCATGGCTTCACTGCGAGGTTCGTTTGAAGAGGATTATCGTCTTTTGCCACAATATTGCAACCAAATCAGACGGACAAATCCAGGAAGTTTGGCCTCAGTTTGTGTAAATCCTGTGGATAACAGCTTCCAACGCCTCTTTATTTCTTACCAAGCTTCGATATACGGGTTTCTGAATGGTTGCCTGCCACTCATCGGGCTTGATAGAACTGTGTTGAAAAATAAGTATATTGGAACGGTGCTTTTTGCCTCCGGATTTGACGGGGATGGGGCTCTCTTTCCATTAGCATTTGGCATTGTGGAAGAAGAGAATGATGAAACCTGGATGTGGTTTCTCTCAGAGCTGCACAATCTTCTTGATACAAACGCAGAGAACATGCCGAGGCTTACAATCCTATCGAATAGGCTGAAGAGCATTGTCGACGCTGTAGAAGTGAACTTTCCTACTGCTTTTCACGGGTTTTGCTTGCTTCACCTCACTGAGAGTTTCCGGAAGGAGTTTAACAATAATCTTCTTGTCAGCCTTCTCTGGGAAGCTGCTAATGCTCTGACTGTGATAGCTTTCGAAACAAAATTAACAGAGATAGGAAATATATCTCAAGATGCAGGCTATTGGGTGCGAGAAATCCCACCTTCTCTGTGGGCGACTGCACACTTCGCGGGGACCCGATTCAGGAATACGACCTCCAACATTGCAGAGTCTCTCAAAGCTTGGATCGTTGAAGCTTCCGGGCTGCCCATAGTTCTGATGATGGAGTCCCTACGACGCCATCTGATGACATGGTTCAATGAACGTCGGGAAGCCAGCATGCAGTGGACATCCGTATTGGTTCCATCTGCGGAAGGGCCAGTTTCTGAGGCTATTGAGAACGCACAAACTTACCAGGTTCTTCGGGCAGACGAAGCTGAGTTTGAAGTCGTAACCCATGACGGAACCCTCGTTGTGGATATCAGAAACCGTTGTTGCGCGTGCCGGAGCTGGCAGATATACGGGCTTCCTTGTTCTCATGCTGTGGCGGCTCTCCTCTCTTGCAGACAGAATGTGCATCGATTCGCCGAGAGCTGCTTCACGGTTGCTAGTTACCGGAAGACTTACTCACAGACAATTCACCCGATTCCCGATAGAACGCTGTGGCAGGAGACGGCGGGGGGGCATGAAAATGAAGAGGAGATTGTTGTGAACCCACCTAAGTCTCTCCGACCACCGGCGCAGGCGCGGAAACGACGAACAACGCACACGGGAGATCGAAGCCAGGTAAAGAGAGTGGTGCACTGTAGCAGATGCTACCAGACTGGACATTTTAGAACGACGTGTGCCACGCCTATATAGAGCTCTGGCAGGCATTGTCTTGATATTTTTGGGATTATCGGATATATATATGTGTGTGTGTGTGTGTGTGTGATGCTTGGAAGTCTGTGTGAGTATTATTTGATCACATTTGTGCTTCTTTTTGGGTGTTTGAGTTTGATTTCATTGGTTTTGTTTTGGGCACAACAAGAACAAGTGACTTGAAAAGAAAGATTCTTGAGCCATTGAATTGGAATGAATGAATTATTACAGGTATGTCTTCTGGAGGAGATTGTACTGATTTACAGTTAGATGTGGTGTGATTGAGTTTTGACGTTGACAATGACAATGACAATGACCCAGGGATTAAATTACAGAGGTGGGCACGTGTGCACGAACCACATCAAATCAAAAGTTAGCCGATTGTGTTATTCTAGTATTTTCAGCATTCTTGATTGTCTGTCTGAATAAATAAAATGGAAGTAGAGATGTAGATCAGAAACAGATGTATAAAGTCGTAAACTGACTCTCTGCTTTAAATAATTGGATGTAGGTATGTATGTATACATGCAATTGCGTTTCGTATAATACTTTGCTATCTTTCATTTTTATACTTTGCTATATGTTTAAATAAGTGGATAGAAAATTATAAATTTTTTTAATATATTGAAACGAATAATGGGTGCCTGAAACTTTTGATAGCACAAAATACCACTCAATCCAATTTCAACTTTTCTAGCAACTGATGCATCTTTAAGTTAGAATGTTCAAACTTATGTCAATTTTTAATTTTATTGATTCAAAAATTTATTAATTTTACTTTACCAAATAATAATCACTGTGCCCATAATTTCAATTATCCTGTTTTTTTTATTATCAAATTTCTTAATGAATTTCGGATAATATTTCACTCTGATTTTTATATTAAAATATTAGTAATTCTTAGTCTTCCGGAATCCAGATTAAATGAGCAGTAAAAATCATGTTAAAAAACTCTAAACAAACAGAACCTAAAATTTTTGTACATGTTTTTTAAAAAACCACCAACTTATGAAACCAAATCCGATCGGTCAGGATCAAACACGAACTGTCCAGCCGGAACGATGTTAGAATTTATTATGCCAATTAGATTATAGCAATCACTAGATAATTGTGTTAAATATATATAATTAATTAGAAGAAGAATATGAATATATATTATGCTCAAACATATCTCAACAAACTTTTTAATACATAGCGAATAAGAGCCAATTTGTGACCTGCTACAACATACAAAATACAATATTATATGTGTGAAAAACAGAAATATAAAAATAAAAAGCAACTGCTCTGCTCTGCTCTAGGTTTTAATGTTCCCGTTAGATAAATGAATTAATTAGGTAGCGCCACCCATACATACAACTATTGCTAGCAATTATAAATGACGAAAAACGACTCATTCAAATACAGCACTAGCCTTTGACTTTGATTCTTCTAAATAATAATAATAATAATAATGAACACACACCTAATAGGAAAATAATGATAATCTCTGTGTGTCTGAATAGATTTTTTCATATAAAATATAGAGTACAAGAATCCAGAATGAGCAATCTACATAGATTGCCCTTTTTTACCTGAAAAGATGGTTTTCATATAAAGTATACCGTGCAAGAACGAGAAACTAAATATAAACAAACACGAATATATTTGGTTCCTACCTCATCAAATTCTTTGACATGCCTTATTAAATAAATGGTCAATTCTTGCACACACTCTTATACCAATTAATACTAATTATGCTGTAAGAATGGCAACAGAGATTTGCGCGTAAGGATTTCCACATAGCGAAATCTCAGAGGTAGCTTCCAATCTACCCACCCGGCCGTACCGTACGGGATCTTAATCTTATCCTAATGATCCATTTATTACCACTAATTATTAACTCAAACAAAGCAAGCTGGCACTATAATTAATTAATTAATATTATTACAACACATTTGGTCAAAATGTCCAGCCAGATCTGAATTGACCACCCCCGCCACGTCACCATGCTTCCCCTTCTGCTTCTGTATATAAATAATCCAAAATCTCTTCTCTTACACCATCACCATGGCCTCCCACGCTTCATTTTTAGCATCCCTTGTAGCAATAATCTCAGCGGTCTGCCTGGGCCGGGCCCAGGCCCAGCCCTCATTCCGGCCCGACGGGCTCGTCCTCCCCGTCAGGAAAGACGCCGCCACGCAGCAATACGTGACCGTCATAAACCAAAGAACGCCGTCCGCCGCCGTCCGCCTCGTCGTCCACCTCGGCGGCCAATTCCTCTGGGTCGACTGCGACGCCAACTACGTCTCCTCCACCTATCGCCCCGTCCGCTGCCGCTCCGCCCAGTGCTCCCTCGCCGGCTCCGCCGCCTGCGGCGACTGCTACGACGGCCCCCGCCCCGGCTGCAACAACAACACCTGCGGCGTCTTCCCCGACAACCCTTTCATCACTACATCCACCAGCGGCGAGCTCGCCCAGGACGCCGTCGCCGTCCCATCCACCGACGGATCCAATCCCGGCCGCCTCGCCACCGTGCCGCAGTTCATATTCTCTTGCGCCCCCACGTTCCTCCTCCGCGGCCTCGCCGCCGGCGCCACCGGCCTGGCCGGGCTCGGCCGCGCCCGAATCGGCGTTCCGTCGCTGTTCTCCGCCGCCTTCAGCTTCCGCCGGAAATTCGCCGTCTGCCTCTCGTCCTCCACCTCCTCCGACGGAGTCATCTTCTTCGGCGACGGCCCGTACGTCTTCCTCCCCGGAATCGACGTCACGCCGTCGCTATTCACGCCGCTGTACATAAACCCCGTCAGCACCGCCGGCGCTTCCACCCAGGGCGAACCCTCCACCGAATACTTCATCCGCATCAACGCCATCAGAATCAACAACAAACCCATCTCAATCAACACCTCTCTGCTAACCATCGACGCCGCCGGCGACGGCGGCACCAAAATCAGCACCGTCAATCAATACACCCTCCTCGAAACCTCCATCTACACCGCCTTGACGACGGCGTACATCCGCGAAGCCGCCGCCTGGAACATCACCAGAGTCGCCGGCGTGGCGCCGTTCGACGTATGCTTCAGCAGCGCCAACGTCGGCAGCACCAGGGTGGGCCCGGCGGTGCCGTCCATCGACCTGGTTCTGCAGGGACAGAACTCTCCCGTCTGGACGATCTTCGGCTCCAACTCCATGGTCGCCGTAAACGACGACGTTTTGTGCCTAGGGTTTCTCGACGGGGGATCGAATCCACGGACGGCCATTGTTATCGGAGCATTCCAGTTCGAGAACAATCTGCTGCAGTTCGATCTGGCAGCTTCAAGATTGGGATTCACTAGCACACTGTTCTTCAGGCAAACCACCTGTGCCAATTTCAATTTCACCTCCAACGTCTAGAAGAATCGAGAAAGAATCCACACCTGTGTTTTTTATGACATTGCCATTTGTATACTGAAAGAAATAAATGCGTCGTGACTCATGTAGTAAAGAAATGATGTATGTATTATTTGTTTACTGTTTGTTTGTATTATTTGAATAAACTTCGAATTGGGCCGTTGGGCTAATTATTAATGACTTGGGCCTTTTGGGCTATTATAGATTTTTTAAAATATTCATCTGAGGCCCAAATAGTCTCGCTCGCACGTAAACGACGTCGTAAAGGTCTTCAAACTTGACCATGGACGCGCTGCAGTGCAATGCGGTCTCTCACTCTCTCCAGCCTGCTGTGATTGTGAGTTTAGATTTTGCTTTTTCGTTGTTTTACGGGCAAACCCTAGGCTCGTAATCCTTCCACTGCCTCGATGAAGCTCGTCAGGTATGTGTTCTTTGATTTCTGTTTTTGTTTGTGCTATTGCTTTTGAGTATGACTTCAGCGAGACAATGATTTATTTTTTGGTTGTTTTCATAATGTGTGTTTGATTTGAGCAGGTTTCTGATGAAACTGAACAATGAGACTGTTTCCATCGAACTCAAGAATGGGACGGTAGTCCACGGAACTGTTACAGGTTTTTTCTAGTTAAAACCTATTTGAACATTAGTTTCATTTTCTGTCAAATAGTTTGTTTCACGAACGGAAAATGGATGTATGGTTGGTATATTGCATTAACCTGAAACCTAGTAGAAATGTGGCTTGTAGGCTGTATACCGTATACAATATACGCGGTTCGAGCTTCCAAGTGCTTGACCGTTTTCCCAATGAATGAATGTTGTACGAGTGCTTTATACTCGAAAAGTCATGATTGCACATGTGCATGAACTATTTGTTATATAGAGATCATTGATCGCCTCTGTTAATATTTTTTTTATGGTTCTGTTATGGGGCGTGCTACTTTAATTTTTTGAATGATTGCATTTTGGCCTATATGACAAACCTGTAAAAGCTAAGGAGAGAAGCTGCTTGTCACTATTCATTTTTGGCATTGGACAGCTAATTGTGATTCCTGTCTATAATATCATTCCATGCCTTTCAATTTCTCAACTTCATGTGCATTTGCTCAAGTATAACTTCAACCATGCATTTATCTACCTAATGACAAAAAAAAAAAAAAAAAGAAACTTCGATTCACTCATCATCAGATTTAGCTCCCCCATTGGCCAGAAAAGAACTCAAAGCACAATGTGGAGCCACAGAACCGTGCTATACGTTGTATGCATAATCTGGATTTGACTGGAGTTTTCTTGATCATATCAATGATTATTTAGTGAGGATAGGAAATGTCTTTTTTGTATTCTGGAAATTTAGTTTATTATATATGCTTGTGAATTAGCTGAGCTTGTTTGACTGAAAATCAGGATGTTTACAGTAGATTGTATGTAGCTTGTACCAAAAGCATTATGAAGTGAGTTTCATTCTTCATTTGGTTGAATATAACAAAATTGGTAGGGAAGGAGATAGTTTTATATGTATGATCAAAATGAAAACCAAACAGCTGCAACTCACACCCTTTTAGAGGGGTCTTGGGATTTCTTCACGAGGAAACAATTTCTTTTCAACATTTCACAATTGCCATTTCTCATGAACTTGTTTACTATGTACAGTTGCAACATTTTACTTCCAACTAATTCATCTTCTTTTATAGGTGTTGACATAAGCATGAACACCCATCTGAAAACTGTCAAGCTTGCATTGAAGGGAAGGAATCCCGTGGCTTTAGATCATCTGAGCGTCAGGGGTAACAACATTCGGTCTTACATCCTTCCCGACAGCTTAAACCTCGAGACTCTCCTAGTGGAAGACATACCTAAGGTGAAGCCCAAGAAGCCAACAGTTGGTAAGACAACAATCACAAACTTTCCATCCTTAACAGCTTTTAAATGCCTGCGCCTCCACTGATGTATAATGTGCTATTACCGGTGGGTTCAGGGAAGACTTTTGGGCGAGGTCGCGGGCGTGGTCGTGGCCGTGGACGTGGTCGAGGTCGCTAGATGGTATTAATACTATGGGCTCAAATCATCTTAACTTTGATAGCATACTGCGAGATCACGTCCTTATCGAAAACGTATTGGATTGTTAACTTCGTTTGTTCTTGCAGTTGCCAATGTCCAGCCATCTTTGCTTGGCCTGGTATCATTTCTTACTATATAAATATTTCATAGAATTTTGTTTAATACGGAACTGTTAAACATATCTCCTAGGCAAGTTGTATTGTTTTGCATTTGCCAAGGCATACAATGTCGAGAAAAACAATATAAATATTGTCAAGAAAATCGTGAAAGGGGAGACATTTGCTTGTGCTTGTGCTTGTTTGTTTGATTTTCGATCAATGGGACAGTGGGCAAGTGAAGTCAAGTAATAAAGAATGCAATTGAGAGGCCAATACATTGTTGAACAGTGTTTAAATTTCAATGCAATTTCATAAATGGATTGAAAAGTGGATATGTAGGAATGAATTATCAGTCTCAAAAGAGTGAAGAAGCACAGAACAAGCAAAAGCAAATGTATCAAAGAGAATATTTATATCGTTGGTCAAGTTATACTATTGTACAAGTTATTATTATTATTATCTTTTATTTTTATTTTTTTTACTCACAACTTTTACTCCCTTTAATTAATTTCTACAGTAGTATAACTTGGCTAGAAGTAGACATTGTCCCCAAAGTTAGCCAAATAGCTACTTTGTCTACAAACCTTTTGAAAAAAAAAATGACAAAGAAGAATGGAGCTTATTATTAAAACATCCTTTAAGAAGTGGTTGTGCTCCTACAGAATAGTCAGTTACAAAATTTAAAGAATGGTTGTTGTGGCCAACCACACCGAATTTAATACATAATTTTTATTTTTTTTAATATTATATTCAAATTAATTTTATATTTAAAATATTTTTATTATATTAAGTAAATATATAAATTTCAAACTCCAAACTTCCAATCCTCCGCCAAACGCCCGAACCAACCCTCCAACTTAATTTTTTTTTAAAAATGATACTACCGTTTTGCCTCAATTTTCTCCAATGTAGCTTAAAAAGCCACCACCTGTGTCCATCTGTTTACGAGTCTTTGCTCCAATAAATATTTTTTGTTGCCATTCTTATTAAAGTACAACTGCCCCAACACTCTCCTCTCTCTCTCTCTCTCTCTCTCTCAGTCTCTCTCCCCTTCATAAATCATCATCATCATGCATCCATTTGGTTAAAGACTCAAATTTTGAAACAAGAAGAGAGAACCCTTGAAGAAGGACAAGGGACTTATTTTTTTGAGTAGAGTGGTGGGTGGGTGGGTGTGTTTGTTTTCGTAGGTTGATGTGTGAAAGTAGCAGCATCCCAGCATCTCCTCAGGGCCATTCCAAGTTGGCCCACTTGGATTTGTTCAACAAATTCAAGTTCTTGCAGGAGGAGCCTACACTAGGTGCTCTTGGCTGCTTCTTGATATTCAGCCTCCTCTTGCTGGATTATGGGTTTCTCAACAACCTCCTGGGGACATCAACGTTCAAGACAACACCACCATCATTTCAGTTCAACTCCGATGGATCTTCTTCTTCTTCTTCAGACAAGCTTGCAGGGTTTCTTGAAATGGAGAGTAGTGGTGGGTCAGGGTGTGATATCTTTAATGGACATTGGGTGTGGGATCAGACCTACCCTCTCTACCAGTCACAAGATTGTGGATTCTTGGATCAAGGCTTCAGGTGTGCTGAGAATGGAAGGCCTGATGCATTCTACACTAAGTGGCGTTGGCAGCCCAAGAATTGCAATTTGCCCAGGTTTCTTTCTCTCTCTCTCTCTATTTATTTTATTTTTATCTTTTTCAGTAATTGGAAATTCTTTTCATTTTTAAACTATAAGAAAGCATGCTAGTATGGTTCTTGGTTTGCAAAGTTAGCCTACAGCTCTTGAGGCTATGACCATTTCCATGACTGCAAAATCAATTTGAAGTAGCAAGAATGCCACACATTGTTGCATCATTTATCAGCTAAATGCATATTCTCATTCGCATAAGCACACATATGGTTATGTTTGTTTTCTTGTCACACCAATATTTCCAAACTCAATGAGACACTACTACAACAAAATTAATCCGCTCTTCCGCAGCGCAGATTCGAGGCGAAGACAATGTTAGAGGAGCTTCGAGGCCGAAGATTAGTGTTTGTCGGAGATTCCATCGGTAGGAACCAATGGGAGTCCCTTTTATGCATGCTGTCTATCGCAATCCCGAACAAGACATCGATATATGAAGTTAATGGGAACCCGATAACTAAGCACTCGGGCTCTTTAGCTTTTAAGTTCCGGGACTTCGACTGCACTGTCGAGTACTACAGGGCACCTTTTCTCGTCCTGCAGAGCCGGGCGCCGGATACGGCACCCGATAGGGTCAAAATGACACTAAAGCTCGATAGAATGGATTGGAGCAGCAATCGGTGGAAGGATGCAGACGTGCTGATTTTCAACACGGGACACTGGTGGAACTACGAAAAGACTATCCGAGAGTAAGCCTTACTGCAACCTATCGATTCATCGATCAATCATTCATCCAAAAGCTGTATTAGATGTGTAGTCTTCATGTTTCTGCATCAGGGGGTGTTACTTTCAAGAAGGGTTCGAGATCAAGACGGAGATGAGCGTAGAAAGTGCGTTTCGGAGATCTATCAAGACAGTGTTCGATTGGATCGGAAGCGAACTGAATCTGACCAAAACTCAGTTAATCTTCCGAACCTATGCTCCGGTGCATTTCAGGTAATCATCTCTTAGCTATGTAAAAGTATTAGCCATGTTGGATAGTACCTTAAGATTGTGTGTAAAAACAGAGGTGGGGACTGGAGGTCTGGTGGGAGTTGTCACCTGGAGACGATCCCGGACTTGAGCGTGTCTTTGACTCCGTATCTTGTCTCCTCCGACTCGTACATCAAGTTCAAAACTGTTCTTGATGTCTTATCTGGGCATCCGATCATGGCAGATATCGATCTACTCAACGTGACGAGCATGACATCCAAGAGAAAAGACGGTCATTCTTCTTTGTATTACTTGCATCCTTCAGTCGGACCAGTTTCTCTTCATCGGCAAGACTGCAGCCATTGGTGCCTCCCCGGGGTCCCTGATTCATGGAACGAGCTTCTCTATGCAATTTTCCTCCGGCGACACCTTAACAAAACATCATCAGCTTCCCAGCTAAAGCTGTAGGCTGAATTCTTACAAGAGGGATTGTAGTTAAAGCTTTTGTAGTTCTAGTAATGGTTTTTTTTTTTTTTTTTTTCTGGATTTCACTCCACTGCATCAAGAAAATTATGTTAAATACCAAATCGGGATTTTTGTTTCCAGTTGAGTGGAAACAGATGTTGGTTCATGTTTCCATGGGACAACAGAAACATTCAAGATTGACAAATGTAAATACACTGAAAGGCAGTGATTTAGAAGTAGCTTCTAATTTATGATTCTTCTGTGTTCTTCCTAAATCTATTATGTATTTAATTCAATCACATATACATATATTTCTCTGCATATTTTACGTTGAAAAGATTTAGCATAAATGAGCAGTAGTACCTCATTATGCCTGCAAGGGATGTCATCTTGATTGTCGCTAGCCACACATGAACCTTGCTTGAGTTTGAAAATTGTTGACAATGGTGATGGAAATGGTTCTACTTCAAAGTTCAAAAGAAAGAGCATCAATCTTTCACAATCCATATCGGCGCAGTGTTTTGGAGAGACTTGGCATAACATTGTATGCCTGGTAGGATCTCCGCAATTCGATGATCGAGCCCACCTGGAGATATCAAGAAGCTCAGAGCCGTTTGGTTTTTCATACAGAAAAAGAAATGAATTTGACATGCAACAAAGATGGGATGAAGAATCCTGGCATACTGAAACCAGTGAACTTACAATTATAAGAATTGATGTGAACCCTATGGAGAACCCCTCATTTATTCGGCGTAAATAGTGATCTAGTATTGACGATGTAGTGGCCAAAACACTAAGCAACAAACCCCCTGCAAGAAAAACAGGATGGAAAATTGAACAAAGTAATCAAGCTATTTGTCAACAATAATTGTATCAATAAAAGCATTTTACCCCAAAATCGTGTTGAAGCTTGGATCTTTGTCAAGTACTCTATGGTTGCTTTTCCAGGTTTTATATTTGGAATTCTGGCTCCCATCTTGTTTAAGTAATCCGCAATTTCCTTCGGCATATTGGCCTGGAAGGATGGATAACAATGTATTTTAGACTATTCATAAGGCCAAAGAATATCAATTTTGACATATTCAAAGGGTGAAGTACTTACGATGTCAAATATGTTAAAAAGGAATACAAAAAATGCATAAATGGAATAATAAACCCATGGCGGTGCACCAGAAGGCGTGTCCGGATTCAGGATATCTCTCAAATTCTCCCAAAGGCGTGATCCAAAAAGACTGTAAAATTAAAATATACAAGTCAAGGAAGAGGTGAAGGCTCGTCAGCAATGTAGTACAAATATATTCATATGCAAATCAGACACAAGGAAAGATGACACTACAAATTTAGGAGAAGGTCCAAGTCCAGGTTATCACAAAATGTTTCCTATTATAATGGCATTAAATATATCACAAACACAAACCATTGTGGAAGTTTCTTACCTTGCAACAATGCCAGGAAATGCCAAGAGGTATGATGTGGTGAGCACAGGTTGCATTCCAGAAGGGTTTATGTTGAATGGAATGTAAGGCTCCACTTCGGTAAGTGGAGAATTTTCTCTGGTGCAAGAAAAGGAAATGAATAATTCCCTCATTCAGCAAACCAATAAATTTTGAGAGCCAAACCCAACATTCATTATGGAATCTCCATATTATAGTGTTGTGCAGTTGAGTTATATAAGGTTCAGGTTTCTGAAACAACGTATCACTGAAATCACATCATATTGGTCATTTCATCTAATCCGATTTTCTCAACCTTCATGGCTAAACCACAATGGCAAGTGGCGACTACTTGAGCAATAGATTTTTTATTATTTTTTTCATGCAAAATGCATAAGGAGATTTCACCTGGCAGCAGAAGCAAGTTTGAAACCATAATATTGTAACTTGATCTTCCTGCAACCTTCAGTTACGACTACTGCCCACATGGTTACAACAGTGAAAACACCTAAAACTGCAAGAACATATGGCCACCAGCCCACAGAACTTCCTGAAATTGACATGAAACAAAAAGGCTTAATGATTTGGATCAAGAGCAACTTCTGGGAAATGGTTGATACAGCATCATTATGGTGTCCAAAATAAATAAGAGGATAGATATTTTATATGCAATTTTATCATTCAACATGTTGAAATGCTTAACAGTCAACAATCTAAATCCTGGTTTCACAGGCCTGTCCAAACTTAAGAATTTCTGATAATTCATGTTCATTTGCCAGCACCACCAACTAAAGAGAGAACGGAGACCGAAAATCTAACAAGAGCAAAGAGATTAGAGTGATTTTGTTCCACTCACCTGATAGCTGAGTCAACATTTTGTACAATGTATTCGTGTAGCCCGTTAATATACTAACACAGATAATTAGTGATGATCCTTGACCTGGAAACGTAGGTACAAGAGTATCATGATTTGCAAGATATATAATGGAGAAAAAAAACTATCTATAAATAATACAGAGCTGCTAGATAACGGTTTCAATGGGTACAATTTGAATTCAGTCAACAAGTTAAATTGAGAAGAGTAGCGATCCTTTGCCTACATTACACTTCCCCCTAATCACTTGTAGATGAAAACAAATAAAAAGTAAAACCTCACAGCACATGCCTTTAGCAAAAAATTTTAAATAAAAATAAAGCAAGAAGAAGAAATAAGTAGAGAACATACCAAATCCAGACTCAGTTATCTTGTCACAAATCCAAGTCATTGTCATTGCACCGCACACCAGATACAAAGTAGTGATCATCACATGTTTCACCCTACATAGCACACAACATACCAAAAACAATTACATTACTAGTGGTCAAAGGAAGAGCCATATATATATGTTTAATAGAAGAAGAAGTAGTCAGATCAAAGTTGTTTGTACAAAAATGGTATTGAATACACATGAATGGGAAACTAACAAAATAAGAACATCACCAATAAAGGTTTGGCAAAAGATTGAAACCTGGAAAAACAATGACTGGTGAAGCAAATTATAAAACATCTCAATATCTCATCAATGTTACATTTCAGATTAAAATTTTAAAAAATATACTCATATGCATGGCATATTGAATATACTAAGCACTGCAAAATGCATACAGCACATCAAAAGTGGCATGAAGCAACCATTACCACCTCACAACGCAACATTTTTCTGAGCTTTTTAAGATATTATTCATGGGGGAAAAAATCACAAATGATCCCATTGACAGTATTGAGTAACACCTAAAGTACCACTATAAACTTTGTAACATAAATAATCTCGTGGACAACAAAACATAAACAGATGGTTTGACACTTTTGTCAGCCAACCCAAGATGTTGATTTATTTGGGAAATTGTCATACACAGCATCCAACTCTTCGATGTGTCATCTGATTCGGATGCAGTTGTGTTAAAACACAACATGCCCATGTTACATTGAATACATGAATTGAAAATGCCATTTATTTTCTCACATGAATGCACTTTCATGTCAGAGTACACAGTTCAATTTAACACAAGCGAATCCTTCAACATTTGTGTCCCGCTTCCATATACACATTGTAAAGCTGTAATGACAAACCGTAAGACATGTCAATAAATTGGGTTAGTCGCCAGAGATGTGGGACCAAATTTATTTTTAACACAGAAAGTATATGGACATTAACACAAAAAGTAGACTTATTAACACTTTCAAGAAGACCATTTATGAATTTTCCCTCATGCATGCGTATGAATGGATCATATTGAAGAAGAATCTACAAAGGTCATTCGTGTTCAATCCTTCAAACAAAAACAACCTTAATAAAAGATTTCATAGAGAAATTCAGAAAAATTGGATTCATGTCATGCTTCTTTCATAACTGATTCCAACCGGAAAATAAATGGCTTTAGGGAAGCACATAGGTAAGCACTGAAATGCATACATAACATCAAATACTAAGAATCATTATGGAAGTCAAGAGCCCTTAGCTCCAACAAGGTTAATTTACTTGTATCGCAACTTCAGGGCTTAATATACAAAAGAAACATGCACCAGAATTACCTGTGACTAGCAGCATAAACAGAGTAGGGTAGAGAATAAAAGGAAAGAATAAGAGCCTCCACCACTGCAAAACCAAGGGAAATCCACCATCTGAAAGATTTAAGAGATGCATGAAGATTAGAGCATTTCATCTGCAATCAGAAAAATGATTCTGCAAGCAACAAGATATTTCGCAAAGGACTTGTCTCACTGCTTGAGAAGAATAACTAGACACACATATAACTCTTAATCTTCTCATGACCATCTAGGCCTTCTTTCCGCAGCTTCACCAAAGAAGGAACAACATGGCAAAGCACCTGAACAAAAGTATATGCCAATGAGTAAATGTGAAGACCACATAATTTAATACCAGCAAGATCAGTACAAGAATATTTCGAGGAAAAAAATTGTAAAATGTTGGAAATCCTGTCCCTCCGATAATTTACGTTGATCAGTGGGTTTAAGATTTCCATGATTGAACTCATGACAGTCATTTTTCCAAACTCCGCAAAATATGCTTCACTCAATACCAAACCTTAGGGCATTCGATCTGGGAAGTTAAGTGTATTACAAATCATAGAGATTGGAGAAGTATATGATCTATGTAATCTGATAGATGGAATGCTTTGGTGATTCTTCAACTAAAGTGAACAAACACCTCCTATGCTATCTGATTGAGTACCTACCAGAGACACCCATGACAGAGGAACCCGGACAATTAAAGCACAAAATACTTATTTCTTCTACAAAAAATTGATTAGAGATCAAACTAAGCCTGGGTGAGCTATCCAACAATATATGAAGACTGCTAAGATTATTATGTTAGCAATTTCACATTTTTAACAGTGCAACGGTGTGTTTAAGTCATTTATAATAAATAGATGATCTCAATGATAAGGGTTAAACCTGCATGAGAATTGAGGCTGCTATCTGTGGACTGATCCCAAGCTGAAAAAGGGAAAGCTTGAGCTCTGGTGTCAAATCACCCAGGTCATCTGCAAACAGAGATTTATCCAAATTCAATTTAAATGGTTTATGCAGAATGAAGCAGGTCTATTTAGGGGGAGGGGGGGGGGGGGGGGAATGCAGTGATGCAATCTATCCAAAAATGATATGGTAAAATAGAAACACATAAAACATTTTATTAACTAACTGTTTATGGAACTGCATCTGATAAAAATATATCAAGTGTTTGAATACAGAATAGAACTCCATTATATAATTCAAATAGGGGAAAATAATAAAGAAAATCAGGCAAGGAAGATATTCATGCAAATATAGCCAAGTAAACAATTCAACTATCAAAAAAATCTAAGAGAGCAAACCTAAGGCCAAGATAACATCAAGGAAGTTGATTAAAAACAACAAGTCAGTGTTCTCTACCCACAAAGATTCCAAATAACTTTCAATGTCCTAGCACAAGACCCAACTCTACTCAATTAATTAACAGGAGATATTAATTTAAGCATATATGGAAAATAACTCACCAACAGAACCAGAAACAAAGCTGAGATAATTTTCTGGTATCAACCTTCTATCAAATCCTGGCAATGGAATAAAGTAGCCAATGCGACTGATTATTATCAACATGGCAGTCACAAACAATCTCCTCCTTATTTCACTTTTGAAAAATGATTCCGCAGCATTGTTAATGATTGAGCTGATTCGTACAAAGTTCAAAAACTTATTCCGGAAAGACTCAGGCTTAGGCTCCAAAAACTTTGAATTTTCATCATTGTTCAAATTCAAAGAACTTTCTGGAATTTCTCGTGTCTCTATAAACTGTTCAAAATTTATGGATTCAGTTGATGCGGCTCGAACATGCATTCTGCTCCTTGAAAAAGAATCCCTTCTATTTTCTTTCAAGGATACATGCATTCTAGATAAAGACAGTTGCCTCCTAATTAATTTTGAATCCCCCATCTTGAGAAAAGCAGATGTTTTCAATAATCTTGACTTATTTTCCTGAAATATGGGCAAATGATCTCGACCTGCCAATTGGAAGAACAGTAAGAAACATTGGCATGAGAACCCAAAAATAAAAACTGTGCGGCCAATGAATACGTTGAATCCCGCGCATTATTACTCAAAACCAAGTTGGTTAACAGAAAGTATGCAACCACGAACTATAACACAGATACCAGTTTTCTTTAACCCTGACCAATAACATCAAAGAATTTTCAATTTCTCCACGAAAGAGTATTACACCACCTCACTTATAAAAAAAATATATATAAAAATCTACAGCAATTGAGCCGCATAATTACGTCACTTCCAGCTCTGCAACAGTGAAAGACATGGAGAAATCATCGACACTAAAGCATCACGTCGCAACTTACGCCAATACACAAAAGAATTAATTGTATCACAGCACACGAAAGCATGTCAATACAAGAAAGACTACCAACAAAGGATGAAAATTCCGAAGTCAAAACGGAAGGAACCTTGCACACAGAAATGAGAGCGAGGCTTGAGAAGAGTAGCTTCCATTGGGAGCGCACCGATGCCGCTGCTACAAAGCTGAAAATTTTGCAAGACGGAAGAACTACACTACTTTATCTGCCCAGTGCTACCCGGTCCACATGGTCCGCGACGCATCCCTGAATTACCCGTGCTCTTTTATTTTTCTTCAATAATAATAATTAGGGCTTCCCTCTCCATATTGTATTTCACTACTTGCGGCCCATAAGTAATTGAATAGTTGACCGGTCCAATAGTTTCTAAGTTTGGGCCGTCGGGCTTGAGCACAATCCCTCTCGTATATTTTATTTTATACAGTATCATTTCATATTACGTATACGTAGGTGGTCGCCTAGTTTGCAACCAATTGAAATTCGAAAGCTCAGTAGCTACCTTCCGTAGCTAAGGTAGGGCCTAGACAGGTGGGATACCAACAATTTATATATGGAGTAATTATACATGCATTGACCAAGTACCCAACCCAACCCCATAACATCATCATACGAATAATGTGTATATATAATTGAAGTGGGTCTGGTATAGCTCAGTCTGTACGTACGTGTCTGAAATGAGTCTGACGTATATATACACATACAATTAGAGTGCATGCAATGCAAGAAATGAATAAAGAGACATGAGATTTTGTTGAATGCATGTAGGAGATCGAGTAAAGAGATGAGGTAGCCAATGATAAATGGACACGAGAAGAGACAAAGTAATTATAAGTCAAAGTTGCCAATGATATGTAGTAAATGAGAAGAAGAAATAGCCTATTACGTTGTACATTCTCCTCAGCTATCAATAGCAATATGCATGCAGTAGATTTTCCAAAAATCCTTATATATATATATATATATATATATACCTTCCAGATCTTTGTATGCCACTGCAATACACTCAAAAAAATATCAATTTTGTAACAACATTTTTTTATATTTAAATCCATTTTTTCCGTTACTAATGATATTAGAGATTGAATTAGGGACGGAATTACGTTAGTTACGTGAACTTTAGGAACGAAATTTCGTTACAAATATACTATTTTTTGTAGTGATAATATAATTATATGGTATCTACGACCAGATTCGGCCCTGGAAACAATTATTCACTTTAATTTACTTTATTGTGTTAAATTCACCTACATGTAAAAACATGTTATTTTGTCCACGCTAAACTTTTTTTTTTTTTTTTTGTTACTTTGTAAGAATTAATTAATGAAAATTGAAGTGTCTGTTTCTACAAAGGTTTGATTTTAATTTCGAACTGTTAATCAAAGAAATTCTCTCAAAATCACTGAATCAAACACTTTCTCTGTTTAGACGATAGGGTTTTGAAATTTTGAAAAGAAAAAATTATAAGAAATAATAAATGAGTATTTAATGTTATGTCTTATTACAAGATGAATTATATATATTTTTATTTTCTTTTAGTAAAAATACCTTCAATTTAAATACTAAAATAAATTTTGTTTTATTGTCCGTACTCTTTTAATATTATTAATGTTAATTATAAAATAGACTTTGTATTTTATATATATATATATATATATATTCTAAAATATACCTGGACTGCATGGATTGTAAAAAGAAAAAGGAAAATCATGTAAAATTCATTCCAGCTATGCGGACTCCATAGAGTGGGAGTCCCGGCCGGATCGGACGGGTATGCCAGCATGTATCCTCCTCCGTTGATTTAGAACAAGATGAAGGGCGTAGATTGAGCGACGGAATTGAATTCCCATCAAAGTGGGTGATGACTGATGATGACACCAATATTATTTCTGAGTGAGAATGGATAGGAATAGGATAGGATGGATTGGGTTAGGTTAGGTTGATGACACACATTCGACAAAACTTTTGTAAGTTATTATCCTAAATCTTTGGACACAAACATTTACATTACTACTTTGTGGACAGCAATTCAGGGAGACACGTAGGACAGAAATGTTCGGAGTTCCATTGGTCCACGTGGCAAGACTGAGTGTCATGCATGGCCACCAAAAAGAGAATAGATCCCGCACTTTGCATGATTAAGACACCAACTTAATTACACCACACTCTAATTTAATAATTTATTATTATTATTATTATTATTATTATTATTATTATTATTAATATTGTCTATTTAATTTTGAGGAGGAACACTTTTATGCATGCCTCGCATATATATATATATATGTGTGTGTGTGTGTCTTCTATAAGTGTATATATATAATTACAAAATACGTTATAAAACACTGTATAGTGCCAATATTCAAAAAAAAAAAAAAAAAAAAAAATCCCACGAAAGTGAGCTTAAGTAAGTACTCGTCATTATTGTCGGGCATAAAAATTTTGAATTTCAGATGTATATATATATATATATATATATACACACATGGATTCTTTATCGGGTTCGATCCCAAAGAATATATTTATATATGTGAAAGGTAGAATCAAATTTAATTAAAGGAGCAAGTAAATAGTTTGTGTATGTATATATATTGTCCCTACTTTAGAGAGTAAATTATTAGAGGTTTAATTTGTGTCCATGCATGATGGCTAAGTGGATGACAAGCCATTTTATTCTAAAATTGTAATTGCATGGCCAATTATTATTCTCCTTCACATCAAATAAAGAAACACACACACACACAAAATGGAAGAGCTTTTGGAATAAGACATATATATATATATTTATATATATATATATGTGTGTGTAAATATTAATGAAAGTTTTTGCTGTTATTACAATAAAATCATTCCTTATTGGGTAACTTTCATATGTTATTCCAAACTACGTGGCAATTAATTAAATACACATAATTTATCACATTAAAGGACTTGGATTTTGAGTTTAGATTTTTTCAATAATAAAAATTTAAATTTAAATAATTATTTGATAATGATATTTTGAATGTAAATTATTTTTAAATAATATAAAAAAAAATAAGTAAATTATAAAACTTTGTGAAAATCCACTTACAATAACAGTGATTGAGCCTAATGAGCATTATTGAATCAACATATTTCGTGTATAGCGTTATAGTATATTGTAAGTTAATTTTATATATTATGCTTTATTAAAATATGATACAATATAAAATCAAATATGGTATATATAATATACTGTGTGAATTATTACAATATATTAAAGTGTTAGTATTTATATTCTTTCACTGAATCAAATGTAATATGTATTGTATGTTACAAACTTTAATTTGGAGCAATAAATTTAACTACCAAGAAGTGTTTTATTATTAGTACTTGAAGATTTGCACATTAAATACACAATTAAGGCCTAAACTATAAAAACAAACAGGGCCTTAATTGATCACGACATAGCTACATAAATTGGGAAGCTTGGGAGCCTAGTGGTGCCGCCCTGGTGGAGATCCTCACCATTGCATCGGCTCCCAAACCCTAATTTCCCCCCAATTTTCGAGCTTCCTGCATCATTGTGCTCCGAGACGTGGGAATCTGCTGCCGCGGCTGGTTTCTCCGCCTGATTCCGATCGTGGATCATCAAAGAGAGCCGGAGTCTTCCATTCCCGCGCTCGGATTTGAAACACTTTCTGCAGGAGGAGAATCGAGAAGCTTTGATCACCAACCGACCGTCTTCGCGGTGAATCTGCAGTAGATGAACGCAATGGCGTCCGCGGATCGAACTCAGCGGCGGCGGAATCACTCCGACGTGTTTACTCCGCTTGCGAAGTTCTAGGGCTTTTTTATTGGGAGTAATTTGTCTCGTGGTTCCAGGATATGAGAATTCATCCATGATTGAATCAATGTAGGTTCCGGTCTCGCTCCCCAGGCTCTCAGTACACAATTCCAGGCTTCGATTAGTCAGCCATGGAGAAACAGGGGGAATATCTAGGGGAGGTACGTAAACCTGCTCTGTATCAGTACTGGTATTGGTACACTTGCCACTATCCGTGTTGCTTTTAATTGTAAGTATGAAATTCCAGGCGCCACAGTTGTTCTGGTTTTCAGGATATGGAATTGTGGTTTGATTTTGTGTAGTACAGGGGAAAGACAGGTCTGGTTTGGAAGAGAGTAGAAGTGGGTGCATTGACAGGTTCGGTCGGGGAAGAAGAGGCTCCAGACAGGACTGTAATCCTTGGGAAACAGTTGAATTAGAGGACATGGCTACTCTTTATATGTGGAAAAGATGAACTCAAAGAAAGCAAAGCAGGCAAGGGATGGAAGATGGAGAGGCAATGGCAATGGATTGGGGATGAATTTATAGGTCTGAAAAGGTATTGCATGGAATCTGTGTGTGTGTAGTCTCCACTCTGCTGCCACACAAACAGAGGAAGGAATTAGTGAAAATTACAGACAAATTGTTGTCTAAGATTCCATTACAGGACACAGATAACACAACTTACTGCTTTTTGTTCTCCACAGAAAAGACCTGTCCAAGTCAGTCTCTCTCTCTCTCTCTCACAAATGAACCATTTGATTGGTTGATGTTGAAGGGGCTATGAATTGGCAGCTTATGGGCCCCTTTTTCCGCAACACAAATTTTGCTCCATGACTGTTTCTTCATTCTGCATCTGCGGTTATTTAGCAAGTGGTTGAAGGTAAATACCCTCATCCCTCTCTGCATCAAAGTTATTTATTTATTTAGAAAAACAGATTTTGATTAGAAAATAAAATATGTGGCTGCTGGGATTCGAGCCCAGGTCTCCACGGCCACAACGTGGAATTCTTACCACTAAACTACAGCCACATTTTTATTCAAAGGTTTGTTTTTTCAGTTCAACTATATAAACAATAAGATAACATCTGCTATTTATGAATGAAATTTTGAGACTGACAAATAAGGCTTTGTATTTATATGTACTCATATTTTTTTGGTTTGAGATTATTAATCAATATTATTTTTTCTCCAAAACAATGTTAAAATCAAATACTTATTTTTATTTGATTTATTAATATAATCATAGATGTGTGTAATTTAGTAATTGTATTTTATTGCTCAGTAGTGCAATTCTCACTATGTTTCATATTTTTGTACATAATTAAATATGTTGTTTATATAAGATTGATATTTTATTATTCGATAACCTAAATATACAAAATGCCAAGATTTAAAACCTTGTTCGAATTTAACCATCACCGAATTAGCTGCAGTCATGTATATTATTTAGGAAATTTAGTAAGAGTAATCAAATACCAATTTGAATGCTCAAAATGTTGTTCCTTTTGCAATGTTATTTTATGAATAAAAAAGTTTTAAATAAACAAAGAACAAATGTGTACAAGTCACATACAAAAATATAAATAATATACAAAATTACTTAATTAGATAATTTTGAGAAGAAACATTTAATAAATGTGCAAAATCAGATCCAGACCTTATACAACATAAGTTATATTAATTATTTTTATAGTAATATTCACCATTTATCATAACACTAGAAAGGGCTGGCAGTAGCTCAAAATTAAATTTACAACTAGACTAAATCATATCATTCAATATATATTACTTGGTAGATTAGAGGCCCGACCAAATGGAATCGAATGGATGTTAAGCCACAATATGCTTCAGACATCATTCATACTAAACACAAACTGGTGCGGGTATATAACTCACCATATAGAACATTTCATGCCAAGACCATTGCATGTTAGAATGAGGCCCTTGTAGCAGTTAAGGTAGTCCTGCAGAGCACGAACGAGGATCGCTTAAAAACAAGCGAAAAAAAGACAAGAGGATTTATAGAAAGCAAGCAAGCAGTCTCACCATCAGGTTGCTGTCGTACGAAAACACAATTCCTTTCTTGTCATACTCGCGGCGTTTTACAGGATCGCTTAAAACTGCAGATGCTCATAAATAAGCACATAGATAATGGAACACACCATTTCAATGTTAGTCGGCTAAAGAAGTAGCTGATCTAGCGCACATGTTAATCTACACAAAAAAAAAATAATAATAAAATAAATTATATAACACCGCTTATGTTTTAGTAAAAATAAACAAAACATTGCGTGTTTTATTTATTGTATGAAAATCCTAATGTTAAATTAAAGTATACACCAAACACCCTTTTTCATCCAAAAACTACAAACCTAAATAACTAAATAATTTAGCAATCATTAAGTGTTTTTGAGATGAACTACTATCTAATCCTTTTAAGAGAAACTATAAAATGAATGGATTATTTAAAATATAATATAAAACTTGCATAATTGAGTGTTTTCGAACGAAGAAGACATTTTGTACCTACTTTAATATAACACAAGGGTTCCCCGCAATAAATAAAACACAAGTTGTTTTATGTCTTTTTACTAAAACAAAAGGGGTATTATGCAATTCATTTATTTATTTCATTACACCATGAGCACAAATAGAAAATATATATATATATATATATGTTCGCCTCAATTAGTTAATCTCAAAACCCCCAGGGCGAAGGGCAAACTGTTCCTAGGCATCCAAATACATTTGACAATAGAAGTGGCCGACGGGATCTAACTCTCATGTTTGTATTCAAACCCCAAGTACCACAACACGAGTAAATCTAGAGACAACAAAAACCAACAAGGGGAATGGCTTGCAAATAATCCCAAAGAGACCTATTTCCTTCTACATATTCATGAACATCATCAAGAAAGGCTTTTAAACTCAAAAGCCGACAAGTAAAATGGCTTGCAAATAATCCCAACGAGACCTATTTCCTTCTACATATTCATGAACATCATCAAGAAAGGCTATAAACTCAAGGTAGATCGATACACACACACATATATATCTATAACATGGAGGATAGATACACAGGGAGATCCCGGCACCGATTGAAGATGCATTGAAATATATCAAAAATTGAGACACCACACCATTATCCTATTAATTATCCGACTAAAGGGTTAATAATTTTACCACAATATTTGAGAAATTAAATTAGGGATGAGCTGCCAAGAATTCAATTACCTTGATAAGCTTCGTTTATTTCCTGAAACTTTGAAGTGGCGCAATCCCCATCCTTCTGCTTATCCGGATGCCATTTCTGAGTACAGAATTTTTGCCGACAAGGAAAAAACATGTTTAAAACCAAAATCGAGGAAAGTTGAAGAAAAGAAGCAAAGTAAATTCGAGTACCAAAGCAAGACGGATGTAGTTGGAGCGAATCGCTTCATCGGAAGCGTCATAATCCACCTCTAATATTTTGTAATAATCCTACCAAGTAACAAGGGATTTGAACAACAAAATCGGCAAGGATGCAGGAAATAAATAAAAGGACCAAATATGAAGAAATGAAACGAGAGGGGAAGAGAACCTTAGGCTTTGAAGAAACGGAGAAGAAATCGAAGTTGACATTGGAGTATCGGTCGGATTCTTCTTCTGCTGCTGCTGCTTCTTCTTCTTCGTCGAAGAAGTTGTACCATTCATCCCACACCATTTCCGAAGCAGGAGTTTCTCGGTGTGGGGATTACGGTGAGATTGGCGATGGAATTCTTTGATTGAAAGAAGAGAGGATAAGAAGTATGGAAAGAAGACAGCGGTAGAGCTCGACACCAGAGCAGAGCTCGGCAGACGGTTAGGGATTATAAATTCGGGGAATTGGACTTTTTATTACGAGTAAGCCTCTTTATAAAAAAAGATCTTAAACTGCAATCCTATTTTTTGCGAAATATTTGGAACTAATTCCCTTCACTTTTATTTGTCTTTTTTACCCTTTTTCATCCTCGTATATTTTAATTAATTTCAATAGTTTATTTCTAGTTTATTTCAAATGCATCTCTCCATCACCCGCGAGATATCATTCTGGCGGAAGCCAAAGAGTTTTTTTTTCTATTTTTTTTTTTATTTTCTAGCAGTCATCTTCTTTATATCTTTCGTGTAGAAAACATTTTCTTTTTCCCGTTTTCTCCCTACTTTAATCTTTAGGTAATAACGGTTTCTTAAATGAAGTATGAGAATTTATCTATTTTGTATGTAATTGATTTCACTTCATCTTTAAGTAGTTTATTTGATTTTGAATTCACACTTATTTTTCTTTTTTTCTATGCACTTCGTTCGATAAAATGTCTCAAAGAAGACATATTTGTTGTGTAACCTTAGATGGATTGAATCTGTCTATTTTCACCAATACGAAGTTGAGTTAAGCATGAATTGCTTTGCCGTAATTGTGCTACAATCCTATTAGAATTTATTTATTTTTTTAACTTTTTATAGTCAATTCTAATGATTTTGTTTGATTTTCAAATGATCAGACATTTTTATTTTTATTTTTATATAAATTTGAGTATAGATATGGCACAGGAATTTAAGGATTTAGCTAAGTCATTAGATATTTTGAGAATGTTAGAAAATACAGGTACATGGTCTGCGGTTGTGTATAGTTGCTCCTACCAACATAATTGCTAATTTAGGTTTATCTTCAAGCTCGAAGGTTGATTGGGGACTAACAAACCTTGTTGATATCCAAAGAACCTCCAATAGCCAAAGCACTCCCGACTCCTTTCAATCCATGCTCGAATCTATTTGTGCATAGGGAATATGAACATAAGTCTAGTCAATAGGATGATTATGATTTTAAGTTCTTTAACATCAAGTTTGCAATTATCTTATTATTTTATTGCATGATTAATTTGATGCTAAATTCTTGTAAACTGTTTGAATTTGGAGATGTTACAAAGAATAATATAATTACAGGGAGTTGATGATGTCTGTCACGACAAAACAACTGTATTCATATACACGTCTTTATTTCTATGGCTTGAGTGAGAGATATATGTATTGAGATACACAATAAATATTATTTTAAGGTTATTTAAGTGATTTTTGTACTCTGTACTAATAATTTTTTTATCATAATATGAACATCTAAGTTTAATGTGTATATGTATAGTATTTTGTGGCATAAAGTATTGACACCCAAATTATGTATAGTATTCTGTGGCACAAAGTATATGTATAGTATTCTGTGGCACAATATGTTATGGTTTGATACTTTAATTAGTTTATGAATATGATACAATATATTTCGATAGTTTTTTAAGAATATATGAGTACAAGACATACATAATCTTAATGCAATGAATATATCATACGGGCAACTATTTTGTTCTATTGATGGATATGCATTCTTTTTTTTGGGACATACGATACTACAACATGAATTTATTGCATATTAATTGAGGTATTTACTAAAATTAATAGAGTATGCATCATGTATAGAAACGTATATATTATCAATACCCGGGTATATAAGAATGCAATAGGCCTTATCCTCAAAATATGCAAAATTATTTGGTTTCAACGGCATTCCAATCGGTATATTAACATATAATGTTAATGAAATAAATTTGTTACTATAAAAATTAGACAGAGACAAAACAACCAAATAATTCACACTAAATGAAAATACTAAAAGAACTATGACATTGCAACAATATTATAAAAAAAATTATAATTTAAATATATAACTATTGAATTGATGATGCAACTTATGCATACTTGTGAAGAAATGCATGCAAAAGGTTCACCAATTCATCTATGGTTGCCTTTCCATTCACTTCAAAGAATTTTCATGTCATTTTTCCATAAAGCAGTTTGTAATTACTTTTGGCGTGCTTCATATAATATATAATATTGTAGGTAAATATACAATAGTAAGACTCCACTTGCATAGAAGTGCGGCTGTAATTTGGATGTATCGTGATACATGAACACAATATTAGTCTCATTTTGTATATGATAATTCAATGACACAAGTATAAAAAAACGTAACAGAGGCACACAAATTATCTTATGGGGGTATTTAGTTGATTTCTTGAAGCACAATGACGTGGTATGGTAATACTGTCTTATCAAGGTCAGTCAAGTCTCCGAAAATAATAATCGAAATGGTTAGACCTAAATGCAGTTGAGTGTAATTGGTACACTAAGGCAAACGAGAGAATATACTGACATATATAGACACGAACAACATCTATGCGATAGTGCTTATTTACATAAAAATAAAAAATAAAATCGCAGTAGATATACAACTAGTAGAATTTTGTACACGAAGCCAAGTTGAGGGTACAACAAAACCGTTTTGGAGTACTCACCTGGTTAGCCGAGTCAGACTCTATGCTTAGATTTCTCTGACCGAAAGTTGTGTACACTACGGTGTGGATTAATATATAATAGGTCTAAATATTTTTAATTTGTGGCAGCAATCATGTACCCTAACAACCAACCTACTTAGTCACTTATGACCTTGTTAGACATGTACAAGTGAAAATTGGACTATAATAGTATATATATCATACAATTTATATAAGTCATTCCTGACTAGTTTAACCATCCATAATAAATATGTGTTGTTTACCTTTTCTGACAATTTGGAGTGTCACAAGAAGACTAACAAGATAAACGCGCATCCCTGTTTACTGTCAACAAGTGAATATTTTGAATCGGAAACAGCTGTTCTCCAACCACAGGTTATTAGAGCATATATACTATTTACGGAAGCATATGAGACCATTATTATAGGTAGTTAAAATCTACCCCAGGGTATGTGGATATTTTTTGCAGGTATGTAGAATGTGATCTGGGTACAAACACCGAAATGCGGAGGTATAAATAATAGTTTCATAGGTATTATTTGTGTATTACCAGGTATCCTCGAATGTAGTTTATTTTAGTCTTTCCCACACAGAGAGGTCAATTTGCGTACTCGGTGAGAGCACTTCCTCTCATAGACTTGATGGACTGAATATTATTGTATGTGCTACAATGTGGATTACTATGTAATATATGTAAAAAACAATCAATTCGTGGGATGAGTGATGTATAAGTAACAACCGACAAACTTAACCACATCATTTCTAACTTGTTTAGTCATCCATAGTAAAACTTGTGTTTTTTTTTACTTACAATTCAGGAAGTCACGAGAACACAATAATAATGAATTTATCTATCGTAACAAAGATCAATTGAATATTTTGAACCAAGCACAACCACTTTTAAACCATAGATTATCAAGATATAGATATATTAGAATATAGATATGCGTTAGCGAAACATATGACTTCATATTGCAAGTACGCAAAAACCACACTGGAGTATGTCTTTAGTGCACGTATGTAACAATATAATCAGGGTACAACACCGAAAGTCAATGTATGATTGGAGTTACTTAAGTATTATATGTATAGTTGCAAGTATTCTTTAAGTGATTGATATCAATTAAGACACTTCATGAAAAGACTACCTCCATCAGTGAGAGTATATGCATGTATGTTTGAATAAATTTATTATTATTATTATTTATTTTTTTTATTTTAGGTATGTCATTATAATTAAAATTGCTAAATAGTAAAAGAATTTGATTGTATTATTTTTATTGGTTTTTTCAAAAAATTAAATTTATTTATATTATTTTCATGTTTTAAAATAAAAAATTAAAATATTAATAAATATGAAAAAGAGTTTCTAACAAAATTGTGTACATATCTACCTGTATATTTAGGGTGTGTTCGTTTATAATATTTTACAATTTTTTTACTATTCAAAAAAAAAATCCTTCAAAATGCAATATTTTTATTATTTAAATTTCAAACTAAAATCCAAACCCCCAACAAACTATATATATTTTTGTATGAAAAAAATTATTACAATGTAATAGCAAAAATAAAAGCACCTAACTAAATTATTATTTAAAATTTATTTAATGTTATTTTCTTGTAAATTTTATTTTCTATCAAATAAGATTTCTACATAGTAAATATTTAAAATATATAGAATACTAAAAATAAATTATATTACTAGTATTAATTAAAAAATTGTATCTTATACATAGGTTTTTGAATATTTGATATAATAATTTATATATATGCTTTGCAATATTTTCTTCATTTCGTCGGTGATTGAGAAAAATGACACAAATAAGAGGTATATAATTTTTTCTAAGGTATGAGAAATGTATAGTAGTTTCATGTCTTACCTTACAATAAAATTTGACTATAATTATTATTTTTATTTGAAAATATACAAATAAAAGTACGTAGAAAGTATATAGGGGTATATAGTTGAACAATTTAGATAGAGTGGGATGTTAGGTATAGCTAGATATGTGGTAAGTATATAAAAAAGGGTTAGAAGTATTTAAATATATTTTAAAATTATATCATATTTATATTATACTATTTAATGAAAAATTAAAAAATAGGAGTTGAAATTAAATTAATATTAAAAATAAGAGAGTGCAGATCAATTTTTTAGTAATAAGGACTCAATTTAAATTTAACATTATTGACAAGTAGTACCGCCCAATTCTCCCTTATAAATTTAGCCCCAAAACGGCTGTACGGCATTTCTATGAATATTGTTGTAATTTTGTCTTTGAATTTTTACCCTATTTCAGCCGGGTTTTCTTCCTCTAGGAATTTGGGCATGTTTATATATAAATACAACTTTGATTTTTGTATTGAAAAATTGAAACTTTTTTTTTAAAAAATAAAAATCAATCTTAAATTTTGAATTTATAAAAACAAAAAAAAAAAGAAAAAGAAAATCAATTCAAAAAGTTCGAAATTTGAATTATAATTTCCAACTAAATCAAAATTCTAAAATTCAAAATCTGAATTATAAAGTTCAAACAAAATTGAAAATTACGAAAATACATAATATAATTAAAATTCTAATTTTTTTATAATTTTATATCTTTTTACAGTTTTATTAAAAATATTACATATAATTTACATCAAATTTTCAATTTTGATTTGATTTAGATCAAATATTTGATTTAGAATAGCTTATTCACCCATAAGTTCCAAAATAAGAATTTTGAAATATAAGTTGGTATGTTTGTTTGGGAGTTTGAATTTTGAATTGAAATTTAAGTGATAAAAATTTAGAATTAAAGAATTATACTTATATAAATGGGTATCGAGGATGAGATATTTTGATTACAAAGTTAATTTTTAATATAATATAAAAAAATAATTATTTAATTTGATATTTTTTATAAAATTAAAAAAAAAATAAATAAAAACTAATAAAAAAGAAAATTTTGGAAAAATCTTCCAAACATACAGAGTAAATTTATATGATAATAAAGTAGCAAGCATCAACGCTAAAATGGCTTTCGAAAGCCAAACAAACAGAGTCGCAGCCTTCACCCTTAGCCTAGTGTTTTTATAGTATTTGATTTTTGATTATTTATAAAGGATATTTATTCAGAACACCATTGGACGCAAGCCACGCGGCGACACGTAATGGCACTGTCGTGTAAAGAATTCACTGGTAAACGAAACATGGATAGGAGCGACCGTGTTTGATTTGTATTTTAGATTAAAATTTTAGGCAGATTGATTCCATTCGTATTATTTATTTTTTTTATAAAAGATTATAACATAATATAATTTAAATACAAAAAATAAATTTAAAAATTATATAGTAATATTATTTAATATAATATTTCTTTTAAAAAATACTATTATAGTAAATAGTGTAGATTTTTTAAAAATAAAATTAAAATGTGAGCTATAATTATTAAATTTGATATCACATAAAAAAAATAAAAATAAAAATTATGAAAAAATGAAAAACACATCATTAGATTTTTGCAAAATTGTAAATATCGCCTATCAATTATCACACCTACAGAATGTGATAGTAATGTCCTTGTAAATTCCATAAGAAATGGTTTAATGGTAGCATGAAACCTTTAAGATTATAAATTCAATTTTTTTTTAAGTCTTTCAAAATAATCTAAAGATGTGAGGTCAAACTAAAAAACTATACATTCAAACTTCTGACACCTTTAGATATTAGCTGACGTAATTAGATGTAACTAGCCTAAATTATAAGCTATTAAATTCAACATAAATTTAAATTAAACATACTTGAAAGAACAAAGCTTAAATATAATTTTTTTTTATGAAAACTATTTTTTAAAAAATTTGTTTTATATTCAAAATATTACTTATATTTATGTTATGTATTTCTAAATTTTCAATTAAATAACTATTGGATGTACTATTTTATATTTATTGTCACAATTATAAATATCCTTTTACTATTTATTTTGTAATCCAAATCAAAAATATATCCTCTATAATAAAAATAATTATATATTAACACTAAAATACTCTTTAATTATTTTTATATAAGTTACAAATATATTATCATTATAAAAACTCAAAAAAAATAAGATATATAATTATATATATATATATATATATAAAAGAAACAAGTGCCAGGGATGGTATCTGACTAAGACTACAAATTAGACATGAGAAGCATGCATTGCTTTTTTAATTTGCTAGGGGACGTAAAGAACAAAACCTGCCCGTCATCACCACCACAATCAAACAAAAATCCTAAAAGCCAAACACAAATTCAATGATGAGGCAAAACATGCATGCATATGGATGCTATATATAGATATAGATATAGATATATATATATATATATATAGTCAGTCCAAATAATAGGGCAAAATGGATGATTATGCAGTGTAAGTGTTGGCATTAAGGTGCAAGACTTACAACAGTTTCAAGACCAAGAGATCACAAATGGGCTTCCTCTCCATGGCTCAAGCAAGAACCTAACAAATATATGTACACCACCACCACCACCACCATCATTCTCCAGTTAATTAGTCAAGGATGATCAGTATCAAAACTGCTGCCAAACCTCCTATTGTCCTAATTCCGGGCGGGGGCGAAGAGGTCTCGTCAGCAATCTCACAAAGTAATTACGAGTCTCGGGCAAGATCCGCCCAATCAGCTCAGAATACCTACATCGAACATTGATTTTCCCAAGAGATCAGTCACCAATACCAAACATTCATAAGGAGAAACCAAAAGGTTATCTAAGATACCATGGCATGATGCATAATTTCTCAAACTTATCGAGGATGAATAGAATGCAAGCATTTCTCAAAGAGGATGCATTGAATGCCTCCGAAAGCTCGAACATTAGAGAGACGTTTGCCACTGATATGTCCTTCAGAAAGTACACAGCAATCAATTATCAGAAACAGCACAACACATAGTGTCCAATGAGTAAACGAGAAATTCTTTATTAGGTGAATCAACCTGTGCGATGGCATATTCACACAGCCGTTTTAGGCCCTCCAATAGATACTGATCAGCTGCCCTCAAAAGATCCTGAGCAATATCTAGATTGACTTCTACGGATCCAGTGTATATGTATCTACACGGAAGGAGTAAAACATAATTACAAAAAATAAAGAAAGCACATATCAACTTTGATGGATCTTGCATTATAATAAGCAATGAGTAGAGAAGGGATACCATCCTACTTACCTCATCATCAACTCAAAAACATCCCATTTAATATTTGGAATTTCTATGTCTTTGGCATCTCGTTCCTGCAGGCAAGGTAATACTTAGAATTTCTATTCCTAAGCCAAGGAATAACCCCATGAGTATTATACAGAATGCACAACACATGCAAACTTAAGGTATGCTGTGTAGTGTATCAATGAATGCTTACCCGGTAGCCACCATCAAACATAGCCCGGAATGCATCAGAAGAAGCAAGAAGACAAATTCGATGAGCATAGAACCGTTTACCTGATGATGACAAATAACACAATTAATCAGAACACATGTGGGGTTTGCAAGGATCAAAGGCACTTGGAACATAGTTCAACCTTCAACTAAGAATGTGACATCGGACAATGTAGGATTATTTACATATTGCTCGCCCAAATAGACCTGCAGCAAAATAGCAACAGTAACATGTCACCAGCAAAATACCAGCACATTAGACATATTCAAACCCAAAACAAGCAACAGTCAAAAAAAAAAAAAAAAAAAACTAACAAAGAAAAACGTGCCTAAGCAATATAGAAAACATCATTGATCAATCAAACTAATTAAGTGTGTTGACTACAGAACAAAGCAAAGGCAGACTAGTTTCGCTACATATGCTTCCAAAGTTGGATGAGATCATCAGATATTAAACCATTTTGCTGCAGCATGTGACTTGTGATATAAATGTCATAAAACTCAGTTTAAACCGCTCATTTTTACATGTGAACGAATAGCAATAGCCTATCAAAGTCCCTACCATTTTGAAATAATCAAGTGAGAACCGGAAGATGGATTACCAATTCAAATCTATATATAAAAGAAATTTTTTTCAAAATGACCAAGAAAAAAATTTCAAATTTCTTTTCATGCTGTCACACAGTTCTAGATCAAGCATAATAAAGAAACATTGAAAAAGAATAGAGAGAATATTTATGACAGAAAATTAAATTGTTAACTGGCTGAATAATAATTTGTAAAACACACAAAGACAACAAGGGAAAATGGATTAGAATTATTAACATGATAGAATCCCGATATCATCCAGTTCAATGAAATTTCAGGTGCACATTTGCTAAAATATAGAAAAGTTACACTAGATGTTGCAAACTTGCAATATAGTAAGTCCATAAAATTCTCTCACTAACTGCTTCAATAAAACAATCTAATTCTGAAAATTGCTACCTGAGGTACAGGGGAAGGAGGAGCAGCATCCACAGGAGAAAGTGAGCTTGTTCTGTTAGCTAGCCTGCATAAAGCCAAAGAACTATCCTTTTTGTGCTTTAAGTTGCTGGATTCCAGGAGCTCCAAAAGTAACGTCAGTCCTACATTGAATAAAAGGGGCATTACAAAGGAAAATTATACCAGATAATGCATAACACACAGCAGAGCCTAGTTGACTGATTAGCTTCATAAACTAAGTAGGCAAACATCTTACCATTACTATCAATGAAAATGTTTTTTTGGTCCTCTGGGGAACAAAGATGTGCCAGGGCAAGAGCCACAAGCCCTTGAACATCTCTTTCTCCAACCCGCATCATGTACAATAAATGGCTCAATACCTGCTAGATGAAATCATAACAACTCAAAGATCGGTTAAAACTAACTCTACAAACTTCACAAACAACATAGGCATTGCATCTCCAAGTTCACAGAGCAAAATTCATACTAATTAATTTTTGTTACAAACACTAATTCAGAATGATTCTGCTTACCCGTCCATGAATCTTTTCTTCCAATCTTTTCAGTGTCTTAACCACACAATCCCTGGTTGGCTGCAAAAAGGAAATGGATAATCGGTTATGCTAACTAAAAGGGAGTACAGATAAACACACCCCCAAACAGAGTTCGGACAGAGATAGTACTTGAACAATGAATTCACCATCCTGAAGTTTCTGAACACCCCCAACCCTAATAAGGTCAGCAACATTATCCTAAAAAAAAAAAATCAAACAAGATAAGAATAAAACTCAACCAAGAAAGTAAGAAACACAATCATACCTCTACATGAAAACAGAGTAATCTATTCCTTTGTGAAGCTTAATTAACATAATTACAATGTACACTTAAAAAAAGAAGATACAATGTACACTTATGTAAAAACCCGTAATCTAATTTGCACTGGGCCCAGCTAAATAATCATCACTAACTAATATATACAGGGAGAAATGACCGAGTCAAAAATGAACTCCAAAGGGAGTGCAAGTACCAAGACATGCAACACAGGAATCAAACTCGACAGAAGTAGAAATATCAAAGATATAGAGTCCATGTGATGTGTGTCCATTACAAATAATCATCTTCATCACACGGTTTTGAAAAAAAAAAAAACAATGATTGCGGAAGAATAGAACACAACAATTTAAGGCACGTGTTAATTTGCTAATAAAGATCAAATTAAATTCAATCCAAGAAATATGTAGCACAGAATGCTACGAAAAATAGTGTAAAATTAGCAATATCAACTTCAATATGTGTGACATAGGGTTTGAGACAAAACATTTGGAGCACAATTTGTCATTCGACGTCTCTTCCTTTGCCCGCCTCTGAAGCTGCTGCCATCAACTGTTCCTGCATGTGGTGTTACACGCATTTGGTGCACTTTTTGTATGGTCACCATCTCACCTCGTCTCTGTCACCCTCCGCTCCATATCCGCCGCCTTTGACTTAGACGCTGGTGCTCCCTCTAGTGCTAAAGGTTTAAGGATGTAGTGTAGGTGAACTATGTTTTTGGATGGGTGGTTCCAGACAGGAGAAAGTAGGTTGCGGGGTGCAATTTTTTAGTTGTTTTTTGGTGTCTATATAATGGGGATAAGATTCCAAAGATATAAGTAAAAAGAAATTCTACTAGAAGGTGTACCAATTATTCCTCGAATTAACTTAAATTAATACATAAATGCATATTATATAAATTTCAAATATGTCCTTCACGTCCAAGGCGTGGCCTTGACAATAAAGAGATGGACTTGAACACAAGATTTTCCGCACCGATACCATGTAAATAGAATAATCTATTCCTTTGTGAAACTTAATTGCCATAATAACCCTAATCTAAATTGGACTTGGGCCCACACAACATAATCATCACTAACTAATATATCATGATATATCTAACAAAATATATAACATAACAATAAAAATAACTAAACAATGTTATAGCACCAAGGTAATGTTTGTAATACCTCATTATCTGCAAGCCCATAAAGAGCAAATGCAGCGTTGTGTTGCAAAGAACCATTCTTAGAATCAAGAAGCTTTAGTAATGGTACTATTCCTCCACTATGGGCAATACCAGCTTGATTATGAGTATCCTGCAGAGCATAAAACTAGTTAAATGTCTAATATATAAAATAAAGATTACTTCTTCACATGCTGATAAGTGCTACCATTTTTACCTGTGCCAACCTTCCCAGGGCAAAAGCTGACATTTCTCTCAATTGAGAATCGTGTGACTGGAGCATTTCTATTAGAGGAGGTACAGCGCCCCTTTGAACAATATGCACCTGCAAATGGATGGCACACAGTATTGTCAGAATTGATAAGTTTGAAGAATCAAAGAAATCAATCTTATATAATTACTGATGCAAATTTCAGGTTCAGCAGAATATTGACTCAACCTTACAGTCTGAATCTGTTGCAGCAAATTGTCCAAGAAGAAGAGCAGCTTCCCTTTGGCTCTCTGAACAGCATGAACTGTGTTTCATAAACATCATGTTAGACTTATTCATGAAATTATCCGGTATTCCAAAAATAAAGTTTCTAAAATCCAGATGAAAAGGGGAAGGCAGATCGCAAAGTAATGAGAAACTTAACAGGTACAGGCAACAGAGGTTTTTAGAAACAAATAATAAAGTCATGTAAAATAGAATGATAAAAAATGATGGTGTATTATAATGTGCTTTTTGTTTAAGCTATCAGGTGAATCCAAACAGTTTTGCTTCATAAACAGACCCTCAATGGCTAAGTTATATCACATCTCCTTCCAATAAAATAAATATGTTGGAAAAAATGAAATATTAATATTGCATTATCACACTTCTTCCTATCAGATTAAACTATAAAACTAAGCGGTGTGTTAACATGTTAACAAAGTGAGGCCTCATATTCATATCCCGCCTTCACCCACTAATAAAAATGTCATGGCATTCACATGCTAAGCACGTGGAGAAGTAATTCCACACACACATGAGGGGGCATGTTGGAGAAAAGAAGCATTAACAATAATATTTAAAATAAGAACAAGTGAGCTGATCATTTAAAATGCAATAATATTTCTAATCCAACCTTAATCAATAGCCAAACTATTCAAACTGCAGATCGCATATCTATCAAGGAACTGAATCTTCTAATTTCAGAACATTAGATTATACAAATGTGTAAGCTGCCATATGTGTTAGTGTATATATTAGGTGATAACCAATTATATCTATTAATAATTTCCCTTGTGTAAATAAGAACATACTCAAGGGTAGAATAAGACGCTATATTGTATAAAAAACACACTCAAAAAATTGGGTTTGTGAAAAGAAAAAACCTCATTGTGAACAAAAGTAGGGAACTTAACAGATGATCTGAAGGCAACATAACCACCAAGAGACCAATTGCCTATCTGGCTATCTAAGACCCATCACTATGCTGTGTGTGACTTCAATATGAGGGAGACAATTATGTCCCATATAATGATCATTTAAAGCAATCATGGTTGAAGGATGCTGCAACAGGGTTCCTTTTTAAATTAGGAGTGGAATCATTTTTTTGACTGATAACTGAATGCTTAACAACCGCTATCTAGAGAAGAAACTAGAACACCTAAGTCTAGCAAGTGTGTGATAAGACAACCAAGAAAATCTTCCTGCTGCAACATGTTCTATCCAATTCAAGGACTAACACATTAGAATATGTTATTGTTGTCAATACATGAGAGCAAAGATAAAAAGGAGGTTCATCTCTACGAAAGTATGTAAAGATTGGTGGACACTATGGATAACAGATTCACAAAACATCCATATAGAGTTCAATTTAATTGCATACAGAGCAAGTTGAACAAGACTAGCATCTTTGCAAGTGCTTGGCACAGAGAGTGGCACATGAATAATACTCTGTATTAGATAGTATATTCTTGTAGTCTTCTTGCTACTATTAAGCATGAATCAACTAGAATTATTTGCTTTTTAGTAAGCTCATAAAGAAAAGGTAGATATTAGTTTGTTCCAATAGCAAACGCATAAACAGAAGCTCGAGCTGGCAACCAGGAGCCTCAACTATAAAGAAAAACAGACATTTAAAAAATAATAACCCAATAAAATAAAAAAATTACAACATAAATACTGCATATGGTGCGATTGCTTGGGTGTGTTCAACTGTTAGCTTCCTTAATCCTATGCTCACACCAGTGAAACTAAAATCACATATATAATAACTTGTTTCAGCGAGTTGGTAAAATTATTTTGAATTAGAAATATCTCACAATTTGAAGGTTTAATAATGTCTTGTCCTACAAATGAGAAACTAGAGGAAATCCATGACTTAAGTTATAAAAGCCTCTGTAATCAGAGTGAAACAATGAAAGGAAATCAATATGGCTAGAACAAGGATAGAAAACACCACAGCCTTCTCATGGACATGCTATGAGATTATATGTCAATTCCAAGATCAATATTTAGAGAGCAATAACGCAACAAAGGGTTACCAAGTTGACCAAATCTTTGTAATACAGTAGTTATTTTCTCTCTAAATACAGAATGATGTTTTAACAGAAGGCAACATGTAGATTATGCAGATTATAGGTAGTAGCAGCCACCAAATTCCATACAAAAGTTAAATCTCATCCAACATGAGCCAGTAGAAGAATAATAGTTCATATTTCACCATATCTATATATTGGTGTTTAGTGACAAGAGACCACCATCCTGGTTAAAAAATTTCAACCAAGGATATGCACATAAACATACCTCAGTAATCCAATGACAGGCTGCAAGGCTCCAGCAGCAAGGACTTCCTTCTTGATATTCGGAGATGAGTGAACCAGATTTCCAATTACGCCAACCTGAAGGTTAGGGTTTAAAAAAATAAAATATAACATTATGCTAAGTCGAATTGGCAACACATAAAAAGCTACAGGGTAGTTGAGAAAATAAAAGCAATTAATTGCAAACCGCTTCATAGCGTATGGCAGCATCGTCAGAGCGCAGCATTAAAATAAGAGTTGGTAGAGCATTCCATTCCACAATCTAAACGCTGAAAAAAATCAGAAAAGATAATGGAGAAAAATATGCTTTTCAAGTTGCAGAAAGTTGATGGTAACCTGGTTTTTGTTATCATCATTTTTAAAAGCAAGGGTTCGAAGGGCACCAGCTGCTGCTCTCTGCACCTTGGGGTCAGAAAAGTCAAGCAATTCAACAAGTGGAGGAATGCCACCTTCAATCCTGGAAGAGCAAAAGATTGTTGAGGCCAAGCACAAGATACAAAACAAATTAGTAGTAGTACAACAGTGCCAACCTAACTAGAGTTTTAATGCTGCTATTTTCATGAGCAAGATTTGTTATTGCATCAGCTGCTCTCCTAATGACGCCATTTACAGCTCGAGAATTTGTACCATCTCTATGCCTTTTTAACAAATTCACAAGATGAGGCAGAGCTCCTGCATCAACAATGAGCTGTTGATGTTCTGGCTGTCAAACAAGTGAATAGTACAAGGTCAGTTTGTTGCACAGATTAGATCTAAATAAAATTTTACATCATTTTCTCAACAAAGTATTATGCATGGATTGTTTGCCAAGATGGACAATTATTATTCAAAAGTTGTCACATTATACCAAAGACTTGCCCCGGTGTTGAAATAAAGAACAAATGATAAATAATAAGAAGACTTGTGAATTATTTTTTTTCCTCTGTTTTTTCCCAAAGAATCAAACAACCATGAAATTGATTGATTTAATCATTAACCAAACACTTATTCAGACATACCATCCACAAGTGATTTCATAAGCAGAGCCTACAGTATGAAGTATGCATTTAAAAGAACATGATAGTTTGCCAAAATGAAAATTATAATTGTTTGTTGTGAATAGACATTGGATACTAGGCATGTAGATAAAAATAAGCCAAAATAATGCTATGATAATTATAATTCTAAACTATTTATACAGAGCTTCTTCAAACATTATGTCAGTTCGCCTGATAAGAGCAGAACCAGATAATTGAGTAATCGTAAAAGCACACACGCGTAATATCAGATAGATCACTTTTCAGTAGAGATAATACTTTAATGGCAAGAAGTCCGAGAGTGAAAGCACTGCCTTTCTCCACTTCATGCTCGTACGGCCTTGGACCGGTTTCACCTTCTCTTGCTGGGAGCGAAGGCTGAAGATGCTTGACTAGCACAGGAACCGCCCCACAATCCACCAAAACATTCACGATGTCCTCTGCAACCACGAGCGCATAATATCTATTAATATCGCAACCCAAGTCAGAACGCACACTAAAAGGACTCATCAGGACACACAAAATCAAGTTAATCAGAATTTTGAACAATCTACACCACACGCGCAACAACTCATCAGATCCAAAACCTAAACTCAAAATCCAGCACAATCACGCTCGCGAAAACAGTTCTCGACTCTTAAAACAACGAATTATCAGTTTTGGTTAATTTAATTCCTTTATTTTCCGATTTTTTAGTACCGTTCTTCGAAAGCTCTGACAGGACATGTATAGCGCGCTTAGCTGAAGCACGATCTTTCTCCGAGAAAGAGAAGGTCGCTTCTAGGATCTCGACTTGCGCCCGGACTTCGCGCACGAGATCTTGCTGAATATCGGAAGGCGATTCCACGGAGAACTCATCGTCGAGTTTCCTCTTCAAACTCCTCCTCGAAGACGTCGAAGATGACAGCGATTGCTCGCGGTGGCGCCGCCCTGAGCTCTGGCCGTGGTTGTCCATGGAGATGAGAGAGATGCTCTGGGAGAGAGAGAGGAGAGAGAATGGTAATGAATATAGTCTGTGCCAAGCCCAAGGAAATGGTTTTTGTGTGGGGGAAAGCTTGTGAATGGATCGGGGTACTTCAGGTATTTCGCAGTGCGCTTTTTGTCGGGTAATTTAAATAAACGATTTTGGAGCAACAACAATTTTATTCAAATAATTTGAACATTAGCGCTCCCGCGTTTCTTATCAACTCGCCAAAATTTGATCAGATCAATTAATAAAATATATAATTAAAAGAGTTCTCTATTTATGGAGTACTAGTATTAAAGTCTTTTTTGTATTAAATTTATTTCGCATCCAGAAAATTTTCAATTTCAAAACATTCTAAATAGAAATATATATTTATAAATATATTAGGATTTATTTGTTCAATTATTTATTTTTATTAGTAAATATTTTCAATATATAATACTTCCTATTGAAATTATAATATTTTTTTATTTATTTAAAAGAGTTCTCTATTTACGGAGTACTAGTATTAAAGTATTTTTTGTATTAAATTTATTTCTCATCCAAAAAATTTTCAATTTCAAAACATTCTAAACAAAAATATATATTTTAAAAAATATTAGGATTTATTTGTTCAATTGTTTTTTTTTTATTAGTAAATATTTTTCAATATATAATACTCCATTTTTATTATATTGGATTGTAATGAAAATGACAAATATATTATAAATTTAAAGGATATTTATTATGTTAAGTAGATAGTAGAATTACTGAATTCGAAATGATAACTTTATTTTGGGACAGACCAAAATAAAAAATTATAATCTTTAAATGAGAAGGAAAAAATATATTTTTTATAAAAAATAATAATTTTCAATACAAATATTTTTTTTTTATACTATTGATATAATTTTTTATTTTTCACATGAAATATTATCACTAATTAAAACCCTAAACAAGTGCATTTTTAAAATAAATAAATTAAATACAAATAAAATAAAAGTCAAACAAAAACATAAACTCAAACACAAACCAAACAATGGATGTGTTTACTTTTAAAATTTTGCACTTTATTTTATTAATTCAATGTTCTTTATTTTGAAAATATTAAATTCAACATAATTTTTTTTTTATTTATTATATTACATTCAAAGTTGATTTAACATTCAAAATAACACATTAATACAAGTTTGTATTATAATATTATAAAAAAAAAAATACTCTATTGATTTATCTAACAAAATATTCATTTTTTTCATTTTAGTATGTTTTCATAACAAAATATTATATATATAATATTACAAATACCATTTTAATTTATAATATATTACATAAATGTCGTTATTTCTATATAATATTCCATCTGTCCTATATATGTCTATCCGTTTGTTTTTTGTAGAAATTTTATAAATAGTAGTATCATATTAGAATGTAGTATAAATAAAAGTATAAAAACTAAACTAAAAGTATTATATGATAGAAATATAATAACATCTGTATAATAAATTGTAAATTTAAAATATATTTGTAATGTTGACTATACACTACAATGAAAAAACAAATAATTTGTTAAGCGAACAAAAATAGAATTATTTTAGATTGAATGTTGATTTTTGAATTTTTTATAATAATTATTTAAAAAAAAATTTAAATTTTTTTATTTTTGCATGATATATTTTGTATTTATTATTATTATTTTCTTAAAATCGCACTTGAAAAGTCGTGCTAGAAGAACAAAGCTAGCATTTTTTATTAATATTCATTTGTCATTGTATTATGTTGATAAACAAGCTGTATTTTTTTTTTTCATATAAAATATTATTAAAATATTAGAGCTTATTCTTTTGAGCGTTTAAATATTGTGCTTAATATTTAAATAATAAAAATATTAAATTGAAATAATTATATGATTTTATATAAATATGTATTGATTAAATATTTAGAATAAAAATTAATTTTTTAATAAAATATATAAAATAAAAAATATGTATTTTCTTAAAAAAAAAATTGATAAATAGTAAAACTTTCGGATAAAAACCCACAAAAAACACACAATTATTTCCTTAGCCATTTAGAATTAACTCATACCACACACACAAACAAATCAATTCTATCTAAAGTGATCAGACTAATTGTAAATAATTTCACTACTCTTTCCGAAAATTTTTCAAATTTTATGCTATTAATAAAAAAATTACATTAAAAAATATCAAATCAAATCATTTTATTTATTATTTTTATATTATTCTAAAAAATTAAATTTATATTCAAAAGAGTGGATTAATATTTTATTAATATCAAATCGTAAATCTATTTAGATTACAATTCCATAATCCAAACTCCAGGACAATGATAAGACATTGCTCGTGAATTCATAATATATATTTATTAAAAATAAAAATTGAATATTATGCTTGAAAAAATAATTTTATATAATAAAAAAGAGTGAAAAACATATAATTAATGTATTAATGTATAAAATAAACAATAAATAAAAATATACTTATGTATTTATGAGAAATATATAAATAATTTTTACTCTATGTTTTTTAGAAAAAATAACTGACATGAAAAATATTTTATTAAAAAATCACATTTCAAATAAGGTTTTTATTATATAGTAATCAAATCAATAAGAAGAAGCACGCCCTTAAACAGGCGGAATGTTCTAGAGCCATACGGAAGCCCGAATGGCTGGGCCTCTATTTTATCTACTTTTGGGTCGTCATCTAATATGGAAAATTTGGGCCTCACATATATGTATTTATATTTTTTTTTATTTTACTAATTTTTTATTTATTTATTATTATTATTATTACATTTTATAAATACTACTGCCTCTCCCAATTACCCCAAACACCCTGCAATATTTTAAAATATAAAATAATTAATTATACTTAATCTATATTCACATTTGATCATCTCACATCATCCAAATAAAAAAATAAAATATATATTTCTCTATTATCACATCACCTAATTTCTAAAATATCATACTTAATATTACCGATCTAAAAACATCTTGTTTGGAACGGAGTTAAATAGTGTAGTTTGGCGGACGGATAAAGGGGCAAGGCTGTGCTGCAACAAACTTGTATATGAATTTACTATGGCTGCATTCGATTTGATTCGAATTTTAAAATAATATTTGTATTTGATTCGAAATAGTTTTTAAATTATATTTTGATTGATAATGTAATATTTTCTGTAAAATATTATATTTTTATTTGATAATTTTAAGGAAAAAATTAATGATAGTAAGAAATAAAAACCAAACATTAAAGAACTAAACTTTATAATTAAAGAAAAAATTAATAGGAGAATGTTAATTTGACTAGATTACATAATAAACTTTATCCGTTTTTTTTTTAAAAATAAAAAATAAAAGATTAGGAGTGGTGTCGGTGAGAATGGTGTCGGCGAAGAAAGAAGGTTCCCTACCGTACGTCGTTGTCGGTTTCATTGCTCGAACCATAAATACTGACCCACGCTATTTATTATATGCATTTAATTTAATGCCCACTAATTTTATTTATTTTATTTTATTCGTATATGTTTATATATAAGTAGACACACACGTATGTACGTATATGATTAATTTTGTACGTATGTACTATTTTTTTAATGATCTCCTTTATACTATAATTCAGACGGTGTAAAATTGACAACGGCTTTAATATTCAATTGATGAAAATTATAATATGGAGCAATGCAATTACAAACAGAGGCGGAACCAGATCGGGATGAGAAGGGTGCTAATTTTAATTGAATTATCATATTTCGAAAAGATTGCAAAATATCAATTTGCAATGACAACTGCATATTACCAGATGAATTTTACATTATATGAAATTGATAAATATTACAAACATTTATTGAAAAAAAATAACTCTTAAAAATATAATCTCCTATGTATTTGATTGAAAATTTTTGAAGATTTTTCTTTTTTTTTTAATTATTATTTATTACTTTTTTTGTTTATATCTCTTTTTATAGCATCAAACACGCATTATGATATAAATTTTTTTATTATTCAAAATTTAAATTTTCACATAAATACTCTATCAAATTTTAATAATTTTTTTATTTTTTTATTATTTTTTATATTATATATTATAAAATAAAAATTAAAAATTAAAAGGGTTTGGATGGGGGAGAGAGGCTGGAGCATCCGTTCTTACAAAGGGTTTGTTTACCCAACAATTTTTTTAGTAATACAATTTTTTATAAGTATTACAAAAAAATAAAATATATTAAAACAAATTAGTACAATATGTATATACTATTTATTCACAATAATTCAACAATTCAATTTAGTTTTTTTTTTTTTTTTTACACACACATCCATAAAATTCATCATCCGGGCATTTATTTCAAGTAGTTTTAGATGTATTCGCTAGGCATTGTGTAGATACACATCAATATTAATAATAATATTATTGTTGTTGTTTAAATATTACATTAAATATTTAATTTTATTAAAAAAGACATTAAATTTTTATTTCGTAAACAAAATATTATGTTGAATAATTTATCTATATTATATTAATTTTATTAAATTACTATTATTAGTTATTATTATTATTATATATGATCGAAACCTTGTCCTTCATTGAATTAAAAATAATGAATAGGTTCAATGTAACAAAACTTATTTTATTTTCTTAAATATTGACAATTATTCGTTGTTCTTTTTATATATACTAAATCCGGAGCAGTTTATAGTACACTATATATTTTTAACTTTTTTAATAAATAAAAAATATTAATATATAGTATTAATAATTAAAAATGGGTATAAATACTTTATTAAATAAGTTGTCATTTATAAGTACAAGAGTTTATTTTACTACTAATGATACATTTATAATTTATATAAAAATTAATAGTATTTTGTTATCAGTATAAGATCATCTTTATTGTCAAAGTATCAATTGTAGTAACAAAGACAATATGACATAATATATAGATTTTTTTTAATATATAATTATCATTTTACACTATTCTCCATAATAATAATAATAAAATTTCAAATTTTTTTACAAAATAAAAATTTATTTGATTTTGATTTATATATTG